AAAAACTTCATATGAATGTATGTCCTAAACATCTTAACTGTTAAAATACAGGGTGTGGTAAAAATTTCAAAAAAACTGCGGTATTAAATTTTTTTTTTAAATATTTGTTAAGAAAAATAAATGTTGAGAATATTAAGTAAAATAAATAATATATTGTTAATTATGTAACGAGCACTTTGTTTACTCAGTTGTTTCGCCGAACTGCTTGAATCTATTTTTGCTTTTGATCAAATCGGTGTGAAAAACTATGAAGCTATAAAATATTGTTTTGAGATTTGTTTTATTGAATATCCGGGAAAGATGAGCTATCTGTTGTTATTGCACCAAATAACCACGTAATTACACCCTCCTTGACGTGTTAACATTTTTTCGGCAATTTTATTAACATTTGAAATTGTCACAACACCTAAAGCCGGTCCTAGATACTACGTGCATTTGGCGAATGTTCGAACATTCGAATTATGTACTGCGGCTTCGGCCACCTTCCCACACGCTACGTTATTTGTAAAAATGCGTCCAATGACAAATATTTCCCGTAATAGAGCAACGCCGCCGCGCGACGTCTTCATTTTCAGTGCTATTGCAGTTCAAAATGAAAAAAAAACTCCAAAGTTAACTAACTCGTTTGTCCATTCCATTTTGGAGTAATAAAGAAAATAGAAATCAACACGCCACCAATGCAATAATGTGAATGAGTGAACCACAAAACACATACACAAGAAGAAGTGCGAGCGCCTTGCTAAATATTGGAAAGTGAAATTGACGTTTAAATTTGACACTGTTGACCAGTCTACTGCTACTAGCGCCCCCAATTTCGCTTGTAGGAACTACGGACTAAATTGTCACGCATGGCGGGAAGTTTAAAAAAATAAAAAAATTTATTTCTTCATTTATTTTTAATTATGACATACACAAAAACACAAAAAATACACCATTTTTTAAAAATATGTTTAATATCAATATCAAATATACAACAGAAATTATACCACAATAAATTAATAAATTAAAAAAGAATAATAGACACAAGTAGATCAAGAGACAAAATTAATTATAACAAAACTGAAAAAAATGGCGTCATAGATGGCTTAGAAATAAAAGATATATCATAATTTTGAAAGTAAAATTATATGGGAAATGTCTTCGATCATCATTTTTAAGCCAACTGGACGATTATTTCAAACATACAAGCTGAGTTCGTTCATAGTGCTCTGAGAAATCTAGATAAACAAAGAATAATAAATTAAAAGTATTCCAGGGGAAAAGAGAGGAAAAACCTGTATCGTCTCTGATATCTGTCAGGGTATTGTTGAAAGTGTCATCTTTTTGCTCGAAGTTTTCAGGTCGATCAAAAAGATGACATTTACAACAATACTTTGCTGTAACTTTCACAAATATCAGAGAGAGTACATACAGGTATTGCCTCTCTTTTCCTCTGGGATGCTTTATATCTGTTGTTCTTTGTTTATCTATATTTCTCAGAGCATAATGCCGAACACGACTACAGTATATAATAATTTCAATATCCGAAGTGGAAAGAAAAAAGATCACCTTTCTGTTTTGTACTATGGTCCCTTTCTTCCGATGGCTCATCTCGTTGATATTTAGGAAGGATAAATAGGAAGGAAAATATAAAATTCAATTTGATTTGATGATCCTTTTCTGTCACCTAAAATCAGGAGAACGACAATGAGCATGTTAAGATGAAAAAAAAATTATCAACACTTACCTACACGTTAGTCCGAGGAGTTTTATTAAAAACCTATATATTTGCCTAAATAATTTATGTATTAAATTTGCAAAGCAAAATGCAGCGTGTAAACAAAAGAAATAAAATGGCGACAAGTCAACGTCAACGACCCGACAAGGAGAAAGTGGTGTTCAGTAACAAATTATGGGTCACCAAAAATTGTTTTTGTCTCCTTTCAACGCACACTTTAGAAAGAAAAAGAGATGAACTGGAATACTGAAAGAACGTCAATGCTTTATCTGTCACTCTTGTCAATAATTTATCGGTAAGGAAGATTCCTAGAAAATCGCTTGTAGTCAAGTTTTCAACCATTGCCAGTTCTCCCATAAGAAGTGTCATCCACCTGGAGTGAACTGAGGGGAAGCGCGCCGCTAAAAAAAACACGTAAACAAATAGCCGTAGCGTCTGGGAGTAATTCCGAACTACGCCGATGACTACGCCGCACTAGGAGCTCCTTTGATTCGTGCCAGTTTACCGACAACCGCCGGGAAAATGACGAAGTACGAATCTTCGTCGAAGGTAACCTCCCACACTCTACGCGAATAAGCTCGAATACCGAATATTCGCCAAATGCACGTAGTGTCTGGGACCGGCTTAAAACGACGCGGCGACGGACGCCTAGTTCGGATTCTTTTTCACTTAATTTTTACTACCCGAAGCAGCGTTACATCACACAGACCTCGGATACCTGAACGTTTCATAGTTTCAATAACTGCACTAGCAAAAAACTAAAATACCTAAATATTAGCATAAAACCACGATTTCAATATTATTTTAGTGCGATAAACATGAACTGTAACCGGAACCGCGTGAAATACATAGCGAAAATTTTTGATTTCTGTCGTATACAGCGCTGCGGTCGGAATTTTTCGAAATCAACTGAAATGCAGTCTATAGAGAAATGTCAAATCTAATAAAAATCAACACCTCTTACATTATTTATTTTACATAACCTGGTAGAATTTTAGTATCCATAAAAATATAATGGGGCGCTACTGATCTGGGGGGCGGATGTCAAATTTGCCACACAACTACAAAAATGGTTCCCAAGTCAATAATTTGGTCAACCTCCTAAAAACGTATCAATCCTAAAAGATTTACGATGTAGGATAGTCATGTGGCATATTATACAATATTCATATAATATAACCTGTCATGATAAATGCCTCACTAAATATATTCTTTTATTATTTTTTATAGATTTATAGACAGGATTTTCCTTAGCACAACCTTGACGTGACTTTTATTGTGATTAAGTGTTTAAATTTATACCTTACCTTGTTAACTCTTGAAATTATTATTAAGAAGAAAACAATATGTTAATTTTTCTTATTTCTTCGTGGGTGATTTCTTGGAAATAGTAGTCAAGTGATTTTTTGTTTTTATTTGACAGTTCATTTTAAATTTAAAAAAGAGTTTAACCTTTTGCTTATCATTAAAAATTAAAATCTTTATTCATAATGACGTCAGGTCAAAACCATTACTAGTGAAACCAATTTACCCGTTGCATATACAGGGTGAGTCCTAAATAAGTGCAAATATTTTCAGAGCTGGTAGATCTCGATAAAAGAAACATATTTTCTCTTCACTGTTTTTCAAATAAGTCCAAAATAACCAAGTTATTCAAATTTGAAAATTAAAAAAAATATTTATTTTTAAAAAATTTTGAGAGCCACCGGATTTTTTATAATTTGCATCCCTTTTAATGCCGTAACCATGGTAATATCAGAGAATAAGAAATTATGACGTGGGAAAATTTGCGGTCAACAGGCAGTTCTAAAAAGTTTACCAAAATATACAAGAAAATTTAAAAGAAAATGCACGATTTTCAACATTTTTTTTTGGAAAAAAACTGCTGGCGTTTTTCATACAACGAACTTTTCGACATGATTTTACTCTATAAGAGGACGAATTCCCTAAACTAGTTTTGTCTAGCTAATAAACTAATGCCATTTAAAAGAATATTTGTGCTAATATTTAATCCAACTGACACACCACTCACAATGACAAATAATTTCTGAATGTATTTTGTGGTAGGCGTGTCCCTTAGGTATGTTTTAATATTTATTCCTTTTACATAATACAGGGTGGTCCGAGCTGTATTCCGGAAGCATATTCTGCAGTTAAAAATAAGTAAAAAAGTTCGTATAAATGTATGTCCTAAAATGATTCGTTTCGGAGATACAGGGTGTAGATGTTTCATTTTTATTTCCATTTTTTCTAATTTGTTTTGACTGTTTTAAAGAGTAATAACTTTTCGTCCGTACCTGTATAAAACTACCGAGTGAAAAAATGTACATTTCCGTGAAAAAATCGCTACGCGCAGCCGTTCTCAAGATATTTAGAATGGAAATAGCCAATTCAGTGCCAAGATGTGTCATTATTGACAAAAAAATAAACATGAGTCGATTATAGTTATTTGACTAAAATAATAAATTTGGGAACTTTTTGTTTTTATAAATTAATCATAAATTTTTCTTCGAAAAAATGGTAATAAAACAGTTTCTGTTAATTTTTTATGACTTCAGTCTAATAATAACTATTTAGTCAACATGTTGTGTTTATGTCAATGATGACAGGTATAGTTATTGATAATTTCGATTCCAAATATCTCGAAAACCATTACTCGTAGCGGTTTTTACCAAGAGACCATTTTTACGTAAAAAAACTCGTAAATGTATATTTTTTTATTCAGTAGTTTTATACAGGTACGGACGAAAATTTATTACTCTTCAAACCAGTTAAAAAATATGTAGGTGCCGCTCTCTAACTCTCTACAAGTTGGAGTCAAATTGACATCAAAATCAAATTTCTCATGTCAAAAAACTCCCAGACACCAATTTTCATCCAAATATCGACGTTAGTTCAGAAATTATTTGGTAAAAACTAAAATAAAAATGAAATTTCTACACTATGTATCTCCGAAACGAAGTATTTTAGGACATAGGTACATTTATAGGAACTTTTTTACTAATTTTTATCTGCAGAATATGCTGCCAAAGTTTCCGGAGTACAGTTCGGACCACCCTGTATATTACTGATAGCTCTTAATTAAGTGGACCGGGCGAAGTCGATCCAGTCCGCGTTCACCTGTAAGTATTTCCGAAGTCAATTGGAAGTAGTGAGACTTTTAAGTCCTTTATGCAGCCGATGCCGACAAAAACAGTGCCGAAATTAGGAGCTCCAATCTATTTCAACTGACTTCGGATAAACTATACCTAATTCATCTCCTGTTTTTTTTTTGGTTTGACAGCGGCCGCGGCCGCGGTAACCGCCGCCGCCACCGGCAGCGACCCCTACCAGCTGCTGAACGCGGCCACGCAGCGATTGGTGGCGCAGGGCAGCGGCCAGATCCAACTGTGGCAGTTCCTGCTCGAGCTGCTCGGCGATTCGTCGAACGCGGGCTGCATCGCGTGGGAGGGCGCCAACGGCGAGTTCAAGCTGACGGACCCCGACGAGGTGGCGCGCCGATGGGGCGAGCGCAAGAGCAAGCCCAACATGAACTACGACAAGCTGAGCAGGGCGCTCAGGTGAGTGCCATGTTAAGGTGCGTCCAGACCTTACGAGACCAGAGCGAGACATCTATCCTTTTTTTGACGCAAGCCTGCCACGAGACAAGCGAGTTGGATCATAGTGAAAGGAAGCGAGACACATATTAAATTGTTATTGAATATAACAAACGATGGCCAAATAATAACGCATACAGTAGTAAATTTTTGTATCTTTAACATGGTATTTGATTCGTCGTATTTTATTCATCGTCGGCTTTTTTCCCTTTTGGTTCTTTTTCCCTTTAAGTCCAGTCCACTAGTCCGAAAGAGTAGCAAAATAAGAGTTCGGCATTTAACGTTATATGTAAAACTGGCTAGTTATTTTTACACAAATCAAGAAGGAAATTAAAGATAAAGGATTATACTATATCCGTATTGTAGCACATTTTTAGACAACTTCTTTATTTTTAAGATTTTGATGGTCAAACATCAACAAAATATTCCTTACGTTTGGACTAAATTTTCTCGAAAATAAAGACATAATTTAAAATTCTGTTACAATACGGAAATAGGTTGAAGTTTTGTGATTACAGCGATATATAATTTATATGGTTTTGTAACAAACTGCTCGCTATTTTATGGTAAATGCTGAAGCTCTGCAAACCTTAATCAAGGCTTAATTAAAGCACGTGTGTTTGGAATTCTGGATGTGGTTAGGTTCATAATATATATTTTCTTCGGCCACACACGCGCTTTACCCGACACCTGAGAGCGACCCGAACAGTACAGCGTAATAGACTCTTAACCATTCATTTGTTTTGATACAGGACGTCTTTTACAAAATACATTTTTTTAACGTTTTTTATAAGAAAATGTTAAATAGAAAAGTTATATAGAAGCACGTTTTAAAATTACTGTAAAGTATACAGAGTACTTCAAAAGTGTTGAGGATATAATATATTTTTTTTAATGGGAATAGATTACCCTATTTTTTATTTTATTATTAGATTCTACGTACCAATTCGGTAACTTTTTTTGCATATGATATTATTACATATATGTATATCTAAAATTAATAGATTTTGCAATAATTCAATTTGTTTAAAGAAATGTTAGATTTCGGTGTTGTAAAAATTATCAGTGACGCAAAATTTGTAAATTCTATCACAAAAAAAAAGATAATACATACGGGTCCCAGGTACCATTTAAAAAAATTGAGATTATTTAATTTTAAATAGTCTAATATTTGGAATGACTCGCGCTTGTCTCGTAAGGCCTGGACGCACCTTTAAAGGCTATCATCAAATATAGAGGGTGTCAAAAAATAGTGTATCTAACTTCGGTGGGTGATTCTACAGATAAAAATATAACAAAAAGTTCCTACGAACATATGTCCTAAAATGATTCCCGAAGAAATTACCAGAGCCCTCGAAAGGTTAAATAAAAATTATATATTTTGTTTGGTTTTAACCATGTTTTAACCACATTGGTAAACCGTTTTTCTTGAAATTTGGTACTCTTGCACATATTTTAATGCCACAGCGAGTGACGATAGTGAAAAATTCCGTAACAGCCCTGAAAGGGAACTTTCCATTAGGGTAGAGTAGAGAATAGAGAGTACTACTGGTGGTACTTAATTAGTTAGATATATTACGCTCAATAGTCGAATTCGGGCAATGCCCGAGAAAAATACGCAAATCTAGTTTTGAGCAAGGAATATTTCCCAAATCCGAAAAATTAATTTTATTCGATTTTTTTTTGCTTATAGTGTGATTTGATTGCATTGGTTTCACTCTTTTTGGTTGGATTGGTTTAGTTAATTGGCGAGTTGGTTAGCGTGTTTATTTGGAGGGTGTTAATTCATTGGTTAGTTGGTTCTTCGGATTTGGGAAATATTCCTTGCTCAAAACTAGATTTGCGTATTTTTTTCGGGCATTGCCCGAATTCGACTATTGAGCGTAACAGATACACTAAAGTTAGGTACACTATTTTTTTGACACCCTGTATACAGGACGAGTTTTAAATAAGTCCAGATATTTTCAGGGCTGGTAGATCTCGATAAAAGAAACATATTTTCTCTTTACTGTTTTTCAAATAAGTCCAAAATAACCGATTTATTTTATTTTGAAAATTAAAAAAAAATTGCTTAGAAAGAGAAAATTATGTTTTTTAACTAAAAACTAAAAAAAATCCAAAAATTCTTTCAAAAAATTGCAAATTTTCATTTTTTTCAAAAACAACCTCATAATCATGTTTCTGAAGTCGAATTATACTGCCCCTAAAAATTTTTGCACTTATTTAAGACTCACCCTGTATATATCATATACATATAACATATAACTATATATACTCAGCCTAATCTCTAAAAACTGAAGCCCAAATAGTGAAAGAGAAATATGGAATTCTACATAAGTCTATTTCACCCGGATATTCATTTAACTGCGCATGCCTTACCTGAATAAGTTTTCATTGCTCGGTGTTTTTAAAGGAAAGTGGTCGACTCACATTTCACCTAACCTTCAATTTTATTTATATTTTTATTATTTATAACACATTATCATGGAGTTGGAAAAATATAAAAAAATAGTTGGAAACAATAAACTAAACAAAATCACTCTTTTACGCGCACAAATAAAAGGTAATCAAAACAGAACTAAAACAACAATCAATCGGAGTTTGGCGCAATCGCAGTTTAATCGATATCCGGGTGAAATAGACTTCACAATAGACTTATACAGCATTAATATGGAGCTGACTTATGTTGTCTTTTTCTTACGGCACGGAAACAGCACACGGCGTTAAATAGGGAACACTGAGTATATTTAGTTATATGTATATAGTATATATAGACTTTGTTATCATCAAACATCGCTATACATCACCTATAACCTGCAAACTAATATCTAATGATTCCACGGCTTTTATAGGTACTACTACGACAAGAACATCATGTCCAAAGTCCACGGCAAACGGTACGCCTACAAATTCGACTTCCACGGCTTGATGGCGGCGTGCCAAGCACAAGCACAGGGCCAAGGTGACATGGTTGCCTCGTACAAGTACCAACCGCATCAAAGTGAACTGGGTGCAGCCTTGTATCCAACTGCTCACGGTACCGGCACTAGGATACCGGGAATTCTACCGCCGGCTACCCAACAGCAAGGGTTGTTTCCTCCACCCTCGTACTGGCCTTATTCTTCGGGAAGTTTTGATCCTAGAGGACATCATTTCAATTAAAACCGTTAAGAAGTAGGGGTTTTACAGAAATACAGGGTCTGGCAATAGTGCGTCGCGCGTCGGGGCGTCGAACATATGACATATGTTGCTGGAATAAAAAACTTGGGAATATTTTAATTATTGTTAGTTCCCAGTACTTAGCACGCAGAAAAAAAATCGTGGGTGTTTGGGAAGGCTTGAAAGGAAACAATGTTCTTGCGACGTCAATACGATATAAACCGAGCATCGATGTATATCGGGCCAAAAAATACCCGTTAAGTTTCTGTTCGATTCGTCTCTATGTGTCTTAGTGTTGGCGGTTGGAATCGCCATGAATGTTTGTAGGCATAAATAGGTGGATTAATATATGTTTTGGTGCCTGAAGAAGCGGCAATAAAGTCGCGAAACGTCGCAAAAACATTGATTCCTTTCAAGCCTTCCCAAACACCCACGATTTTTTTCCTGCTTGGGAATATTGTTTAAGGGTAGATCCAAAGTATGCAAGTACTAGCGTTGATTGAAAGAATTGGGAAGATACGCAATCTAATGGGCGAATTCGTGACAATCTTGTCACGAATTTGATTTTATCTCTCAAGTGCTGTACGTTGATCCTCTACTCATTCTGCGGTCAACGCATAAAACATGCATTTTCTCTAATTCGGTTAGCAAAGGTATATCGAAGACGGTGCGGAACTGAAAGCCACAGTGTTGCCATATTAAAATGTGTACCTAATATCTATAATACCTTTGATAAAAATATCTTTGGATGAAAAATCCGCGTTTATGTCTTGAACATTTATTCGGGTTAAATATAGAATAAACAACAAAAATAAAAATTCTTTTATAGGTACTGAATATTTCGTATGATCGAAAAAAGTTGTTTAGTTGGCTTGGAAATTACGACTATTGCCATTTAACATAATATTTTGCATATGAAATAACAGCGATCTTTATTTCCAAGCCAACTCTGACGTCGTTCTTTGTTTAATCATATAATATTATATTAAATTGTTTAATGATAGAAAATCCGTATTATTAACGTACTGTATCCAAAATCCGTAAATCTACGAATTAATCAGTAGTTCTGGCAACACTGTCTCCGCCAATCGCTCACTCTGTCGTTTGAAAGCAGAACTACGGTACAGTATTCTTTATCCGCTGCGCTGTAAACGATTATCAGCGCGCAGCGGCGGGGGCGGCGCAGAATTAAACTAAATCTCGGACAGGCTGACGGGAACGCCATGCGCCAGCTACATCTCGGACAGGTTTTGTGTTACGAAATCGCCCATAAGGTTGCGCATATGCGCATCTTCTTATTTCTTCAATCAACTGATGTACTAGGATGTATTTCAGAAAAATATTTTAACTTCTATAGGGTGTCTAATACAAGAACTGTCCTGAAACCAAAACTGTATTAGGTATAATATTTACTTTAGATGGTTTATACTTACTTTTCTATAAATATCGTAATCTCAAATCATACAGGATGTTCAAAAAAAATCTACACCGAACTTTCTAAAATATTAAATAATTTTGCTTCTTTTAGATTCCTGTTTAAATAACCAAAACTAACCTAACACCCTGTATATTAATTTTTATTAGATGGAGAATTAAAAAATGAACATTTTGTGTGTTTAGAGTATTGCTAAATTTTTAACGATTTCGCAGATATTCGCGGTTTTATATTTCATATGGCATTTTCTATAGTAAATTTTTATCAAAGCCACCCAATGATTTTTTTTCTCGTATTTTACTGTTATACCTTTGGTTATACTACACGTCTAAAGGTGCGTTCGCACCGGCTGCGCCGCGCATATCATTTTTTTAACATATACTTTTGTGCGCGTTAAAAAATACATTTCAACAGTACATGTTAAAAAAATGATTTGCGTGGCGCGGCGCAGCCGGCGTGAACGCACCTTAACGTACCATGGTCATAATGACCAAATACGTTTAAATCTACGACGGCCTCCCCATAAGAGCAATGAAAGGATTTACGTCCCAGTATTGAAGGACAAAAAATCGAGTCCGAATGGTTTCAGGACATAAGTTCATCCTTGTTTAGTCAAACCTCCTACAACACAAGGATAGACTTTTGTAGGAAATGCATTGAAATTCTATAGCCATCCTTCAATATCGGGACAGGAATTTAAGCGGTACCCTCCGTATATTTTATTTAAACGTATTTGTGAATGACCCTGTATAGTGGCGCTCCCATTTGTTAGTGGAAATAATTCTTTATTAAAAGACAAATTTTGAGTAGTTTATAAATTCTGTTTAAATTAGATTTCTATAAAGAGTCAGAATAATGGTTCGTAAAGTTCTCTGTAATAAGGAAAAAAAATAATTAATATTTTTATGTCCTTAATTTACTGATTATATTATATACGCTTATTTTACTGTATAAAATAATAATATAAGAATGTACAGACGGTATTAGTACTTAAAAACTATAATTCCAGTGTTTCTTATAAAGGACTATTAAGGACTAAGAAGTTCGTTAAATTTTAGATTGTATCTAGAAAGGTATGTTTTTATTTTCTAAGTTTGTATAGTTTTAAGTTTTTCGTTGTTGAATCTCAGGTATGTATTAAGTACTACTTATATACAACTAGAATAAATAAGCCTTATTTCCATATATGGCAAACTAAAGTAGACAACTAGCCCAGTGGCGTATCTAGATGCCATAAGTACGCACCTAACTTTATCATAATTATTTTTACTATAAACTAAGACTTCTTTATTATAAATCTGAAGCAACTGGGACACTTTACCCGCTACGCCACTGAATGCTAGGTTAGTTACGAAGCTATTATCTTGCCAGTATCAATATATTATTTGTATTTGTCTCTTTGATTGTAAATTATAAACAAATCGCTGTTACTTTGTAGAATAAAATTTATTAAAAAAATTCAGACTTTGTTATGGATTTTATTTCGTCAAACAAGTTGTACAAATGAGTTTATGAAAAAAAGTGAAATTATAAAAAAATAAAAAATTTGTAATTTTCTGAATTTTAGGCTAGAATCCTAGAGGTACCCTATAGAATAAAATATACTGAAAAAAAAACATTCGTACAAAGTTAAATGTGGTTTTATATCGTTAACAGAATCAGACAGAATAAACTATAGCCAATATGGCGAACAGCAACGAATAGGCTACGAAAGAAATTTTATCGATAGCAGCGGCTAATAGGATCCAGTCTTCTTGGTGAGGCATTTTTTCCGAGTGGAGACTTCTGACAATGCCGTGCTCTTCACCAACGTGGACGTCATCGAAATCTGTCACCTGGTGATCTCTCATCTCTTCAGCTGTCACTCTGTGTACAGAGATGCTTGACTGAAAGAAAAAAAAACAATATTAAAAAAAGTTAAAAAAGTTATTGATAAAACATTGTAGAGAGCAAGTAGAATTAGTGAGGAGTGTTAATCCCCCTTTCTTGAGTTATAACTTATAACTCATCATACAGTCTATCCCTCATCATACATGGCTATGTCTGTCACTGACAAACTGGCAGTGGCGGCTTAACCATGAGGTCAAATGGTCAATGCCCCCCAAAAAAATCAGGAGAAAATTAGAAAAACTTATTTAAATTATACTTTTTGTAAATCACTTTTTTTCATCCTAAAATATTCAAAACTATTCCCAATGTATCCAATTTTCGCTTGAAAACATTCTATTTTACCAATTTTCTTTACTGCCGGTCAAAATTTCATTTTATGCTTCGTTCCCGCTATGTTTTACACGTATAAATTCCAAGTGCCGCGGCTCGTGACGCCAACAAGGTAAGGTATACTACGTATAGAAAATATAATGGGCTAAGGTGCGATAGATATATAGTCTATAAAATGAATAACTTTGAATTTTGACCGTTATTTTTTACCAACACGGCAAATATAAAATCCCTCTGTCAAAAAAGTTACTGATATTCTTTAAATTGAGTGCCTGAACGAATCAGATAGGTAACTCTTTTTACTTTCGTGAAATAGAAAAGGAAAATAATAAATCAAGTGACAGTTCTTCCTCTTCTTGCAAAAATCAACACGAAATGACATAATTGTCAAAAGTAAAATGTCATCAGCTTTTGACATTTCTAAATATCAGACCAATGCCGTCTCTAATAGAACAGCCTCGAAGCGAGATTTATGACGCCACGCTAGTTAGATACTACGGATTAATAAATTTGTTGTAGAATACATGGAAAACATAATTATTCCTCGTATTTTTGGTTTGTATTTTAAAAATGATATAGTTTACATGAAATATACATAATATACAGTTAATAAATACAATATATATACCTATACAAATGCAGCAAATGTTTTACGATATACAAATAATGAATAGGTACATAAGATAATGGGTAAAATGTAAAATATATTTTAAATTTGGGGGTTTGAAAATCGATCTAATTTAACAAAAAAACATTCAGTTTCTACTAATAGTGATGTATTATTATTTACATTCACAAAATTTATATGAATATTTTGCAAGTATCAATGTTTGAAAAATTATATCTGCAAATAATACAATATCATAGAAAAAAGGCGTCAGCCATGGCTATGAAATAAAGATCGCTGTCATTTTATATGTAAAATTATTCTAAAATTTTTGATTTTCTTGGGATTTAGGTTCGGGAAAAACGCTGATTAAGTTTTCATTTGGTTTTTCATTTTTTTTGTTTAAAAAATATTTCGGCTAACATTATAGCCTTCATCAGTATTGTCATTTGAAAAAAATAGTGTCGAATATAATCCAAAAAATTACATATAAAATATTCTAAATATATATGTTACTGTAAATGTCCGAAATACAGTAAAACCTAGGATTTATCAAAAGCAAGTGGTAGTAAAAACCAACCAACCCCACCAACGCATTAACACCCCCCAAATAACCAGGCTAACCAATGCATTAAGACCCTCCAAATAACCAGGCTAACCAATGCATTAACGCCCTCCAAATAACCAGGCTAACCTAATTAGTTAATGTTTTTGGTAAATCCTAGGTATAGCGCGCTTATTCTAGATTTTACCGCATTTCGGACATTTACAGTAACATATCTTATATATTTATTTATTAATACATATTTATTAATCCGTAGTATCTAACTAGCGTGACGTCATATATCTCGCTCCGAGGCTGTTCTATTAGAGACGGCATTGCGTCGGCATGGCCGCAAGTTGCTAACCTAATAAAATTAACACTAGAAAAGCCCGCGGGAACTGTCAAATTCAAAATTATTCGTTTCACAGACTATAGTTTATATTGGCCATTGACCGCGTCATTCATACAAGGATTTCTAAAGGTTGTCGCCCACTAGACCGCGGCGCGACGCGGCGCGGCGCCATGTGGAAATTTCTTTTGTCTGCTTGCCATGTATTCAAATGGACCAACGCACATTAGAGCGCGCAGCGCAGAAGCGCGCCACGGAATTTCCGTCAAGAAGTCGGAAGACTTCTCTAGCAACTTTTTTCCGTCTCCCGCGTTTCGGCGCGTTGCAGTGTGCGTACTCACAAGGGAGATAATTTTGCATTCGAGTCTTTTCAGTTGGCTTTTTGACTAGGAACTAGTGATATGTATCAATGGCAGAATTGTATTTTTAAAGGTAAATTAGGCAAATCGATTTTCATAAAGGAATATGATATTTTTTTTAGTCTTCCCTCACTAGAGACAGATGGACGAAATGCCTTTCTATCAAAGATTTAATATAATTGAGGGGTGTAGAGGCAAAACTGGCAATCTCCACTTTTTAACAAAAGTGACAATCTCCAATTTTTAAATTCTAATTACCTAAATATATAAAAAAGATCAGGGTTTTTTTGACCACATAACTAATATACACATCAGAATAAATAAGAATTATCAAAAATATTAGTAATTTGTCTCTTCTGAAAAAATATGATGAGTAGATATACCCGGTGTTTTTTCTTCTAAAACCCTCAATTGAGGAGTGCGTAAAATGTTTCCTTTATATTTTGTAATACTGAAAAAAATGATTTTGTCTTTTATTAAATCTGGAAAAAGATGGTAAAATTCTCCAAACTTCTTTCTTTTTTTGTTAATCGTATGAGTCCAAACTTTTCCTCACCCCCTCTTCCTCTTCCTCTGTTAGAAGAGCACAAAAAATACGCTTTCGTCCGTACTTGAACTCATTGCTTTAAAAACTAAACTACAGTAAGTAAAAAACACTTCGACTATAACTAAATAGCGTTGTCGCGTTTCAAAAGCGCGCTATAGTGGGCGCAGTCCCTTCGCAGCCGGAAAAAATTCTCTTCCCAGAGCCGCGCCGCGCAGCGGTCTAGTGGGCGACAACCTTAAGGTAGGCAACTTTATTTGGTAGTTTACTGACAGACGATATAAAAAGTGGCGGTTTTTGTCTTTGTCTAGAAACCAGCGTGTTAATTTGTAATATTGTTTATTAGTTGAGAATCAATATAGTTGATTAAGAAATATCGATTACAGGATTTCAGTCATATCGCTGGATAAATTTCGCCGTTTGGGCAGTTTGGGTGTTTATAAAAACTCAAATTATAAAACAACCTAGTTTATTTTGTATCGTTTATCGTGTATCACGTATAATGTTTGGTTTAGTCAATATAAATCAATATTTAAATTTTTAATGTTGAAAAAATTTGTAGTTTTAGTTGCCGTAGCTTTGTCGTAGCCGAGGGTATGAGATGCAGCGCGAAATTTGTGTAAGTAATAATTCATAATTTTCTGGTTCTGGATAAATGATGAACTCTTGTTGACTGATTCTGGAACAGATATTTTCTCTATTTGATAAAATGTATGGTGTTTAGTTTGTAAAATCGTGCGGTTAAAAGAAAACAATTGCTTAAATTTCGAAAAACGTTTAGAGAAAGAATTAACTTGAAATAGAAAAAAATGTGAAATAAAACTTTTAGAAATGTGTATGTGTATACAGGGTCCGGCAATAGTGCGTCGGGCATTTGTAGCTCCTAGAATAAAAAACTTTAGAATTTTGTTTAAGTGCAAACCTAAAGTATGCACTAGGATGTATTTCAAGAAAATATTTTATCTTCTATAGGGTGGCTCAAAAAAGTGTGAGTGGATCTGGGTGATTTTTTTTAAATGGAACACCCTGTATATTATTGCATTTTTGGCTTCCTTTCAGATCACTTTCGGTAGGAAAGTGATCTGGAACTATCGATCAATTTCGATAGTTCCAGAGATATTAAAAAATAAATCAAAAATATATATTTTTCAGCCCTTCTTAAAAAAATTATTAAAAATACAAGAACTGTTCTGAAATCAAATCTATATTAGGTATTTACTTTAGATGGTCTGTTCTTACTTTGCTATAAAATATGGTAATCGTAAATCATACAGGATGTTCAATATTCTACGCCAAACTTTCTAAGATATAAAATAATTTTTCTTCGTTTTTTTAAACGGAACACCCTGTATATCATTTTTTTATTAGATGGAGAATTAAAAACTGAACATTTTTTGTATTTAAAGTATTTCAAAATTTTTAATAGTTTTGCGGATACACGCAGTATTATTTCATATGGCGCTTTCAATGGTAAAATACCAGAGAAAAATCAATGGGTGGCTTTGATAAAAATTTACTGTGGAAAATGCCATATGAAATATAAAACCGGGAATATCTGCGAAACTGTTAAAAATTTTGAAATACTCTAAATACAAAAAATGTCCATTTGTTAATTCTCCATCTATTGAAAAAATAATATACATTTTAGAAAGTTTGGCGTAGAATTTTAAACATCCTGTATGATTTACGATTTCCATATTTATAGTAAAGTAAGTACAGACTATCTAAAGTATATATATAATATAGTTTTGATTTCAGGACAGTTCTTGGTATTATTAATAATTTTTTTAAGAAAGACTTAAAAATATATAATTTTTATTTATTTATTAATATCTCAGAAATTATCAAAATATATTTACTCATGTCTTAGGATTATGTAAAGTGATCTGAAAGGAAGCAAAAAATGCAATAATATACAGGGTGTTCCATTTAAAAAAAATGGTCCCGATCCACTCACACTTTTTTGAGCCACCCTATAGAAGTTAAAATATTTTCCTGAAATACATCCTAGCGCATACTTTAGGTTTGCACTTAATCAAAATTCCCAAGTTTTTTTTATTCTAGGAGCTATAGATGCCCGACGCACTATTGCCGGACCCTGTATATTATGTATTTATATTTTTGTGACATTATTATTTAAGTGTCTTTTAAATCCTACCGTGGAAAATTTGTGTAAAGAACATTGACTGGATTTTTAGTGAAATAGCACTAGACTGACTTTCTTTTTCCCATATAGAATATGGATTCCCCAGAAATAGCACTAGACTGACTTTCTTTTTCCCATAAAAATGTAATATAAGGGTAGGTTTCATTTTAACATAATTTGTATTTATTTTTAGATTTATTTTCCTTTAACTAAACCACTAAACGTACAAGTACCTTGTAAGAAACCAATTAAATTTGGCCGCGTCTTAAAAAAATCGACGCAATATTTTTAGATATTGACCTCACTACAATAATAACCACGAGCTGCTGAAAACTGGCTTCAAATATAATTCTTTATAAAGTCTTTTTAACATAATTTATCTCACCTAAGATTCTTACCTGTCTAATATAGGTTGTGAGTCCTAAATATTTTCCAAAATTTCCCATCAATCGTTGTTTGATCACCCAAGGCAAAGCATTTGCATGTTTGCTCCGTGATATTGTGATCACTATCACAGAGCTAATAGTTGAAAATGCCACTATATACAAACAGCTACTGTAAAACAGTACTAAAAAAGACTCCTTGGTTTATCTTTAATATTTTTATTCAAGGATACAATATGATCAAAAAAAAAAGCATCAGAGATGGCTATGAAATGAAAATCGCTGTCATTATATATTTAAAATTATATGGGAAATGTCATGGATCGTCATTTCCAAGCTGGACACCGTTATTTTTTCGATCATACGGTTTAATATTATTTATTTTACCTATTAAAGGTGTATGGGTCCCCATAGCAGGCATTTTCTGTGTGAAATACAGCATAAATAGACAAACAACTATGGCTGTGCATCCGTTCAGTATGATTTTCTCGCCGGCATTTGGAGGTAGCCAAAATGTCAACAAAATCAAAAATACGATCACTAAAAAAAATAAAAAATTATACTTATCTATAGTTTGTTCAAAAATGATTGATTCTGATAATTTCAGATCGATACGGAGCGATCAACAATGACAAAAAAAACTACTCAAAATAATTATCGCATATTTTTTAAAATTATTGTTACGTTTTTTCGTCGGTTCCGTGTGGATAGAAAGTCACAATTTATTTAAACACTATTTATTTAACACTAATGAACAAAAATAATAACGATAAAAGACTTATAGAACTATTTACAAACGATTTATAACTAAGAATTTATTTTGAATTTTAGCGCGTCAACTGTATATTTATAACTGCCCCCTGTAGGCCACGGCCGCCGGCTTTTATACCGGCAGGTAAAGAACTCTAGAATTGTCCATAGATCGTTAGGTGCGTAGAAGGTTTTCGAATGTTCTCGTATGTACTCGTCCATTCCAGTGGGACTCGATTCTTCTCGAACGAATGAATCATTGCGGTGTCTATGCGATGTTAAGGTCATCCGAGGGCGGGCCATATTGTGAGGTTAGGTCGAGTCCACACCGGCCCGCAACACTGCCCCCTTCTTAGGGTACATGCTCGTCCCGAGATGTATACGGTGAATGAAGGTATTTGCAAAGCTGGCCCCTGGTACATTGCGAAGTCTGGTAGAAATAGCAGTCTACAGTTTTCTCTCCCGATCTCAGCTTTGGGTTGTAGCAGCAAACGAGGATCTCGATTCCCGTAAATCTGAACAAGACTTCAATCATGTTCCGGATTGTACGCCAACTCAAACCATCGAGTCCACACGCCAGCTTCGGAATGGCTAATCGTGCAATGTTGTTGTTTAGCAGGGCTTCTCTCAGTTCAATCAGGGTCTTCCATAGATTGAGATAAGTCGGCTTACTCGGGGACCATTCCTTGGTGACCAGGTAGAAGATGTGCCTTGCTTGACCATGTGCATTGTCGGTTAGCCTCAAGACGCTTCCAACCTCTGGATCCTGTCGGCGTAGTTCTCCGACACGCCCAAACTTCTCATTGAACGTCGCAGCGATTCCTCTGGACATCCGCAAATCTCGAGCCACACAATGAGCGAGCGAATAATCAGGAGGCACGGAAAAGAGGTCTCGTTGATCTTCTTTGGTTACACCATAGCGAGCCTTCTCACTGCTGTTGTATCGGGCCATGAAATCGTCAAAGGACATCTCCGAATCAGGGGGATCAAAGCTGCAGGTTCTCACGGTCCCAGCACGATCTTCTATTTCGCCTTGGTAGGGGCTCAAACGGTTGAAATGGACTACCCTCGGTTTTCCTTTTGGCAATTTTCTGATACGGTATACGACGTCATTAATTCTATCCATGACTTCGTATGGCCCTTCCCACGAGGATTGTAGCTTCGGAGATAACCCACGACGTCTCTGCGGGTTATATAGCCACACCAACTTCCCTGGTTGGTATCCTCCATGCTCAGCTTGAATGTCGTAGTGTTCCTTCATTCGGTCACTAGCACTTTGAATATTTAGGCGGACTCTCTGATGAATGTCGTCCATCCTTTGACGTAGTGTGTGGACATAATCTTCTCCGGCGACTTCTTCTCCCGGTCGGCAACCAAATTTCAGATCACAGGGTAGGCGCACTTCCCGTCCCATAACGATGCTGGCTGGAGTTTGCCCTGTAGATTCTTGGACGGATGAACGGTAGGCCAACAGGAACAGGTGAAGAAATTTGTCCCAGTCTCTTTGGTGGTCAGAGACTACTTTGGCCAGATAACGGTTGATAGTTCTGTTCATGCGTTCAACCATCCCATCGGATTGTGGATGTAGAGCAGTCGTCCTGGTCTTGCGGATGTTCAGGACTTCACAGACGCCTTGGAACAGATTGGACTCAAAGTTTCTTCCCTGATCTGAATGAAGCTCCATGGGAACACCAAACCTGCAGATCCATTCTTTAACAAGGGCATCAGCAATCGTGGACGCTTCTTGATTTGGCAACGCGTAGGCCTCGACCCATTTGCTGAAGTAATCCATTACTACCACAATGTATTTGTTGCCATCGTTCGTCTCCGGGAAAGGACCAGCCACGTCGATCGCTATTCGTTCGAAGGGACTACCAACATTGTACTGGCGCATAGGGGCTTTACCACGCTTTTGTGGCCCATTAATGGCTGCGCAAATGTCACATTTCTTACACCAGGCCCTCACATCTTCTTTGCAGTTCACCCAGTAGAACCGTTCACGCAGCTTGCCAAGTGTCTTGGTAACACCAAGATGTCTCCGCTGGTTCCATTGTGAACTTCCTCCAAGACTTCTGGGACCCTCTTCTTTGGAATGACGATCTGCCTTCTCTCTTCTTGTCCCTCCGGTCTCTCGATCACACGGCGAAGTAGTCCGTTATCTATTACCAAGGAATTCCACTGGGCCCAGTACGACTTTACGTTCGGCGAATATCTGCAAACTTCTTCCCACGTTGGTCTTTGGCCTGTGTTTTTCCAGTTAATTACTAAACCTAATTCTGGGTCACTGGTTTGGTCATTTGCAAGATCTTCGGGTTGCCAACTATCATTAACCACAGTTGTTCTTAGGAGTTTCACTTCTTTCTCTTCAGCTCGGGAACAATGCTTACAGTCCTTAGCGCAAGGTCTTCTGGAAAGTGCGTCGGCATTCCGATGGATTGCCCCAGCTCGATGTTCTGTGTCGAAGTCAAATTCTTGTAATCGTTCAATCCATCTAGCTACCTGCCCTTCAGGATTCTTAAATTGCAACAGCCATTTCAAAGCAGCATGGTCTGTTCTTAACAAGAACTTTCTTCCATAGAGATACTTGTAGAAGTGTTCCACTGCTTTAACTACTGCTAGTAATTCTCGTCTGGTTACACAGTAGTTCCTTTCCGGTTTTGACAAGGTCTTACTAAAATAACCAATGACTTTTTCTTGACCATCCTGGATCTGAGACAGAACAGCGCCTAACGCAACATTGCTAGCGTCGGTATCCAATATAAAGTTTCCGTTGCCAAGAGGGTAGCTAAGTATGGGCGCACTAGTCAGGGCCTTCTTCAATTTTCGGAATGCCTCGTCAGAATCTGAGTCCCAAGAGAAACGCCTCTCGCCTTCGGTAAGTCTGGTCAATGGTTTTGCGATGGTGGCAAAACCCTGTACATAACGGCGATAGTATGTGCATAGTCCCAAAAAGCTTCGTAGTTCATGTTTATCTTTAGGTATCGGCCACTCTTCCACTGTCTTGGTCTTCTGTGGATCTACCGCAACTCCTTGGGAGGAGACTACATGGCCCAAGTAGTGTACCTTTTCTTGACACAGATGACATTTCTTGGGGCTAAGTTTCAAACCAGAGCTCCCTAGTCGCTTGAAAACTTCTTCCAAATTCTTCAGATGATCGTCAAAGGATTTCCCAACCACTATGATGTCATCCAGGTACACTAAACAGGTAGTCCAGGATAGTCCCTTTAACACAGACTCCATTAGTCTCTCAAAGGTAGCTGGCGCGTTGCACAATCCAAAAGGCATGACGGTAAATTGCCACAGTCCGGAGCCCACCGAGAACGCTGTCTTCTCTCTGTCTTTCGGCGCCATGTCGACTTGCCAATATCCACTCTTCAGATCTAACGTAGAGAATATCGTTGACCCCGCCAGCGTGTCTAGAGTATCGTCTATCCTCGGCAGGGGATAACTATCCTTCTTGGTAACATTATTGAGCTGCCGATAATCAACACAGAACCTGGTGGTACCGTCTTTCTTCTTTACTAGTACTACCGGCGATGTCCACGGGCTGTTAGATGGTTCGATGACACCCTCTTCTTTCATTTCTCGAAGGATTTTATCAGCTTCTTCACGTTTGGCGAGCGGAAGTCTTCTCGGATTTTGTTTGATTGGTCGTGCATCTCCGGTATCAATTTTGTGTTGTACTAAATTGGTACGACCTCTCTGTCCTGCTTCTCCTTTATCAAACACATCTTGATACTTGATTATCAGGTTTCTCAATTTTCTTCTATTTTCGGGAGATAATCCTTTAACGTTTACTAACTCCTTCACCATTTTGTCCGGAATTTTTGAAGTCGAAACTTTGGAGGCTTCCACGCTTCGAACGACTGAGGAGACCGAACAACAGTACCCTAAGAGGGTTCCCTTCTTCAAGGATACAGAATAATAATTCGTGTTCATTACTCTCACCGGTACAGTTTTCTTCGCTCGTAGCAGGGCTTTTCCAACAGCGATCCCTCGTCCTATTTCGCTGTCATGGTTCCTTGGCTCCAACAGAATAATACTCCCATTATTCATTTTACCTTCTAGGCAACCATCCAAAAATATCTCACAGCGCTCAGGGATCGAAACATCTTCTGCTACCACCACGCGAAGCGTCTCCTCACATTTTCGATGCAGAACCACTTCTTCTTCATTTATTTTCAAAATTCCTTGTTTGAGGTTTAGCTCAAAACCTCTAGTGGTCATGATGTCCATTCCGAGAATAAGTTCATCTTCGATGTCTGCTACTAACACTCGATGATTAAAACAGGTGCTTCCGATAACAAAATTAAGATCTACCTCTCCATGGATGAGAGCGGAGCTTCCTGTAGCTGTACGTAGTCGCCATTGTGTTGTTTTAATCCTTTTTGATGTTTTAAGGATATCCGCCTGATGATCGTTTTGGTTGCACCCGTATCCAAAAGCATGGTTCGTAACTCTCCATCCACGAAACCATCCACAAAAATGCTGTTGAACTTGTGTTGTAGCGATGCGACTTGAGCAGTTTTGGTTGGAACCTGTTGGGTACTGCTCGATATGTGTCCCTTTGATTCGACACTTGGCGAAACCCGGGTCCACGTCTTTTTCTTTACAGTGACTTCTTACGTGTCCTGCCTGGCCGCAATTCCAGCAACAAGTCGGTCCTTTCTTGCCCATGTACTCCTCCATGACTTTCCGCACAATGCTTTCCACGGATTCGTCGGAACATTGGTTGACCGCCCGTACTCTCACTAGAGACCGAGAACTTTGTTTCGCGGCCTCAAATTCTAGGGCACGTGCTAAAGCATCCACCAAGTGCGTTGGATGGGCTAGGAGAAGTGCTTGTCTTGTCTCGTTATCACGTAAGCCGTCGGAGAATGCCTGTACTGCCAACCGCTCCATAACATTCTCTGGCGTAGCAGGGTACGCAAGGCGAACGAGGCGGGCTACGTCGGCTTCAAACTCCTGCAGAGACTCATTTGACTTTTGAATGCGATTTTTTAGCTGGGAATGATAGACATGTTCCAAATGAGCTTGGCCGTACCTCATTTCTAAATGTCGTACCAATTGCTGATAATCTCCCTGTTCCGATGGTGACAATGTCTGCAGGATATCAGTCGCATCTCCTCGCAGTGCGACAGTCAAAGCGGTAGCCTTTTCAGCGATTGTCCATCCGTTCGCTCTCGCAGCGGCCTCAAACTGGCAAAAATAATTGGCCCAAGCGGTTTTTCCGTCAAACTGTGGAGGCTTAATAACTGACTTTGAGATATACTTATTTTCGACTAGTTTCGGTGCCTCCGATGTTTCTTGACATTTTGGTGAATTGGCCTTTTCTATTTCTTGTTTTAAAATTTCGATTTTTCTATTTACATCTTCCTCAATCTCCGTTATTTTGTCTTGTAGTTCCGTAGAATTCTCTATAATCTTATTGTTTAAACTTTCTTCTAAATTAAGTATTTTGTCATTGAAACTGGCTTGTAGATCTTTAGAATTTTCTATGATTTTATCCTCTAAAATATTAATTAAATCCTGGGAATTTTCCATAATTTTATCTTTCAAACTGTCTTCTAATTTTTGAGAATTCTCTGTGATTTTATCTTCTAAATTAACTTCCAAGTCAATTATTTTACTATTCAAATTGTCGTTTAAATTGTCTTGCAATTCCCGGGAATTTTCTGTAATTTTGTCATTCAAACTGTCTTCTAATTTTTGAGAGTTTTCCGTCATTTTAGCTTCTAATTTTTGTAGGCACGAGTCAAGGTCACCTTCGAACTCAAAGCAAAATGTGTCCGGATCCTCGCCTTCCTCCCTTAAAACGTCTCTCAGTCTGGTTTGCAAAATGCTTTTCTTTCCATCTGTCTCGCACTCTCTCTCTTCCAATATGGATTTCAGTTCGGACACTTTCAAGTCTTTCAACAATTTCTTCGCAGCCATTGTTAGTCTTTTTATTTTTCTAGTCTATCACACACGCCACACCTGACACCAATTGTTACGTTTTTCGTCGGTTCCGTGTGGATAGAAAGTCACAATTTATTTAAACACTATTTATTTAACACTAATGAACAAAAATAATAACGATAAAAGACTTATAGAACTATTTACAAACGATTTATAACTAAGAATTTATTTTGAATTTTAGCGCGTCACTGTATATTTATAACTGCCCCTGTAGGCCACGGCCGCCGGCTTTTATACCGGCAGGTAAAGAACTCTAGAATTGTCCATAGATCGTTAGGTGCGTAGAGAAGGTTTTCGAATGTTCTCGTATGTACTCGTCCATTCCAGTGGGACTCGATTCTTCTCGAACGAATGAATCATTGCGGTGTCTATGCGATGTTAAGGTCATCCGAGGGCGGGCCATATTGTGAGGTTAGGTCGAGTCCACACCGGCCCGCAACATTATATTAACTTTGAAAAACAAGACAGTTTGAAATATAAGTTTATAATATTTTTGAAATTATTGATTGAACTGAATGATTCTTACCCACCACTGGAGTGACGATCACGGCCTTGTATGAAGGAGATATTCTGTCCAAGATTATATCTACTGAGACATCTGGATACGGCTCTTTGCAACAGGCATAGTAAGTGACGTTTTTGACAATGGAAGCTGACCGAATTTTCCATTCGCTGTTTTCTATGAGCATGTCTAGCTGAAAAATAAGACGTCAGATTCAATAATAAAAACGTATTATCTACAAGAAAAATTGTGGGCATAAACTATAGAATAAATAAACTAAACAAGGGTAAAACATAGGTAAAATCTAGTGATAAATATTTTTTAATATTTACTTATACAGGGTGATCCGAACTGTATTCCGGAAACTTCGGCAGCATATTCTGCAGAGAAAAATAAGTAAAAAAGTTCGTATAGATGTATGTCCTAAAATGCTTAGTTTTGGAGATACAGAGTGTAGAAGTTTCATTTTTATTTCGATTTTTTCCAAATAATTTCTGAAGTAACGTCAATATTTGGATGAAAATTGGTGTCTGGACGTTTTTTGACATGACAAATTTGATTTTGATGTCAATATGACTCCTATTTGTAGGTAACCTAACCTACATGTGTTAGGTTAGGTTAGGTTAGTTTTTAACAGGTTTGAAGAGTAATAACTTCTCGTCCGTACCTGTATAAAACTACTGAGTGAAAAAAATATACATTTTTGTGATTTTTTACGTAAAAAATGTCTCTTAAAAAGCATACGAGCAACCGTTTCTCAAGATATTTAGAATGGAAATAGTCAATACCTGTCATTATTGACAAAAAATAGACACGTTGAGTACATAGGTATGATCGATAGCGGCTCCAATTTCGTTTATTAATAATAAATTAATTCGTTAGAAAACCTAATAGGATCTCTAGGAAACAGAAAGAAACTTTTATTGCAAGTTAGTCCTCTACTCGGGCAGTTTTTTGCTGCATAACTTCGCCCAGGCATTGTAAAAACACGTAAAAATTAACTATTTACTCTATCAAACCACTGCTATATTAAAGATTTAAAAATGTTCAGAAAAACAAAAATAAAACTACTAAAATAAATTATATTACACAAGAAACGAAAATAAAACTAGAAAACCCAAATATATAACATAATAAACAAAAATATAACAACAACTATAAAATATATAACTCAAGAAATAAACAAAATAAATTAAGCCGTACGGTACTGACTCGAATCTGCCGTAACTGTGTGTAGTCGATGAAAAAAACTACGACACTGGTTACTTTCTGTCGATGGAAACTCAAATGGCGGCGTGCGGGAGGATATGCGCGTAACGGTTCCCGCTAAAGAGAGTTAGCCTGCCGATTGATTTATGTGCTGTGATGCTAGTTCGCAGACATCGTTTGTATAAAGTATATACAGGAGAGGTGGTAGATTTCCTCTTTGCGGTATCCCATATGGCGCCATGGTAGTCACTTCAATCACTTTCAATATTTTCCATGCAAATTTTTTGTGGTCGATTTTTTAAATAGCTTTCCGTTAGTTCTAGTATGTGTTAATTCAGTTTGTATTTTTGTAATTTTTCATTTAATTTTCATTTAAAAAATATCCATATTGTTCAATTGCCACTAATAAAAAAGACCTAAAATAGGGAAGAATTAAGACATAACCCCAAAAGTTATGTTTTGACATCGAGCTTGACATTTGAAAAATTATTTTCCGAACCCTGATTTTGACACAATCAAATTTCACAAATGACACAATCTGTTTGACAATTTAAAATTGGCGCGCCAGAGCTTGCCGATCAATGGTGCCGTTTATCACCTGTGACGTAGTGACCAACCTGCGCAATATCATACCTTGCATTGAATAGATAGTGATTTGACTGAAGTAATAAATTTATCAATTTTTTTTAAATTAATTCCAAATTTTAAATTAATTCCAAATATCTCAAGAACCATTACTCGTAGCGATTTTTACCAAGAGACTTTTTTACGTAAAAAAACGTCTTAAACGTATATTTTTTTTACTCAGTAGTTTTATACAGGTACGGACGAAAAGTTATTACTCTTCAAACCAGTTAAATAATATGTAGGTGGCGCCCTCTACAAGTAGAGGTCATATTGACATCAAAATCAAATTTCCCATGTCAAAAAAAAACCAGACACCAATTTTATCCAAATATCGACATTACTTCAGAAATTATTTGAAAAATCGAAATAAAAATAAAACTTCTACACCCTGTATCTTCGAAACGAAGCAATTTAGGACATAAATTTATACGAACTTTTTTACGTATTTTTATCTCTAGAATATATTGCGAAAGTTTCCCGAATACAATTCGGACCACCTTGTATATTTCGAGTCCTATTGTGTTCAAAATATTTTACCTCAACACCACCTCCACTACTGTTGTTAAATATCTCCAAATCAATCTGATCACCACTGTACGTCCATGATCCAAACTTCAAGGTACAGTGTTGCCAATCGAAAGGCCAGTACTTCAAGTTCAAATTACAGAGTACCGCAAATTGGGCAGGTGGTACCCATAGGACGTTCCCATTCGAGTATACTATACAGTGGCTGTTGTAGTGACTTACCGAAGTACCTGTGGCACTGCAAATGTCGATAATTTTCGTTTTATTTATTATACCATTTAAACGCTTCATAATATGAGTGAAATAAACTCTATTATTGTATGGTTGTGGATAAAGGTATTTTTTATGGTTTGAAATACCTGTTGTATAAGAAAATATCGGGTTGCCAGAGTTCGTGATCTGCCAAATTCAAAATATTGATATCACCATATTTGCTAGGGTCCCATCTTAGTTTTTCATCATCCCAAGACTGAAAAAAAAATATTGTATTCACTAGATATTAAAATGTTATGTTTAATAGTAAGTTTATTTGTAAGGAATAAAAATATTAACAAAAACTAAAAGAAAGTGTGTCATTTTCTGTCGAATAAAGTAAAAAAATACCGAGGATACCATTTAAAAATCAAAAATTGTAGTCATTTCCGGTAAAAAGGAAGTGGCCGAAAATAATTGAATGCGTCAATCAATCCTAATTTATGTCATATACTAATATACCAAATCTGTTTTTTTCATCTGAAAAAATAAAGTATAGTAAACGCCACGAATGTTTGGGAGTGATTCATCGGTCGCTACCAAATACGTTTAAATAAAATATACGACGGTCTCCCCATAAGAGCAATGAGAGGATTTACGTCCCAGTATTGAAGGAGGACAGAAAATCGAGTCGAATGGTTTCAAGACATAGGTTCATCCTTGTTTAGTCAAACCTCCTACAAACCAAGGATAGACTTATGTCGATAGGAAATGCATTGAAATTCTATAGCCATCCTTCAATATCGGGACAGGAATTTAAGCGGTACCAGAGAAATAGAAGGGATAGAGAATGAGCGTCAACATGCGCAGAAGGTCTAATCAAGTTGGGCGCCATATTCCAGGTCTTCGTGTCATTTTGTATATAGGTGGTAATCTATAAGTAATCAAATATCAATTTGCTGTTTTCAACCATACGGGGGGCAATTTAAATTTAGTGAAATTCTATCATTTATTATGGTTAGTTAACATTAATATGATTTAATTATCAGTTTCAAATCTGCGTACAATATTGGTATATAATACACTAAATATACGAATATTCTGACAAAAGACGCTACGGACAGATGACCTTTTCGTCGTTAAACACTCGAAATGATATTAAATAAGTATTTACAATATTTCATGTTTACTTGTACTGAATTACGCATTTCAATTTAAAATTTTTGCAAATTTGGTAAAAATTGTTCTAAACAACTTTTTGTTCAAGTTGTATATTCATAAAAAACATTTGGTTCTTGTATTTTTAATATAAACCTAGAAAAAATATGTTTTTGTTTTATTTTTTTTATTCGTCCCTTCAAATTGTGTTTCAAAAACTGTTACATAACATGTCCTCTAACAAATATTTTCATAATACATAAACATCATTGATTTTATTAAGGGTATTATTATTAGTATTTATCCTGGTTTTTGTCGACAATAAAAACTCAATCTTGTAATAGAACATCAATTTTATATTTCGTAAAATTGTTTTGATACAAATTCAATTTGTCAAAATTCAAGTCATTAATATATTGATTAACAACCCAAATTATTCCTAAATATTTTATTATAAAAAAAACTAATACCGGTAAGTTTGTAAAACATATTATGGTTTGTCGTAATACTAGAAAAAATAATTTATTTTTTGCACAAAAGAAGCTTGTCGATCCTTATTTGTCCATAACAAAATTCTGTATGGTCCATTTTCAATTTGTCCATAACAAAATTCTATATTCCTAATTTATTATTAAGAAAATTAGATTATATGATCTCAGAATTTTAAGAATTTTTTTTTAAGATAAAATAGTTTCTTCTCAACTGTAATATTGTCAACTTTGGCCTGTATTTTATCTATTTAAAAACATGGGATTGACAATCCCCTTACTAAAATACATACTGGAAGGTACCGATTAAGTTTCATTGCTCAAATACCTTTGCTATAAATCCTGGCTCACAATTTAAAGCCATTGCAAAATGCTTTTGAACTTCATCATAGATTTTACAAGAATAAAAGTGTAATATTGAAACAAAGTAACATTGTAAGCTTCATGACTAATAATCTCATTTTTAACACTCTTTAAATATCATCTCGTTAACAATTATGAATATTATATGATTTTTCTCAGTGATTTGTGGCAGAGATACAAATTAATATATGCCCCATAACAGTTTTTAAATAAGAAACTTCTGCCTACAGATTTAATTTTCTTATTGGCATAATACCCTTTCTTTCTATATAAATCTTGCCATTTTTCCAGTCCAATGTTCCTTGTTTTTACAGTTGTAGGAATACTAAAAATGTTGACTATAGAACTCGATACTATGTTTGAAAAAGCCTTCATACCTGTAACTGTGCATAAATCTAATTAACTGAATTCTCCTCCTCTTGACACTCTGAACACAGCCGCTGCTAATGTTAGAAATATTTAGCACAAAACTACAACTACCTACAACAAACTTTACAATAAAAGTGTTAAATTTTCGCTGTTCGATTAAAATACCCTATCTTATGTTTTCTTTTCCTCCAAATAATCTTCTTGTCAAGTAAGGACCAATCTTATTTGATATATTTCTGGTCACTTGAACTTGTGCTTTCATGGACACTATAAGAGTGCACTGTTTTACAGAAACACGAACATTGATTCCAAGTATCTTCTTCCTCCACACGTAATAAAAACATCCTCTTTAAATGGCCACATCATACACTTATTTTTGACCATTCCCAATTACAATCACGATTTTTACAAATCGCCTTTAGGAAAGTTAAAAATAAACAGTTTTGAATCATCTGTAAACACGATTATGTTGTATAAACTTACACATGAAAACTAATCATTTTTCCCGGCGTATTAGCTTTCTTAGAATGACTATGACAATATACAACAAGCCTTTTTGAATTAGTGTTTAGAATAATTGAGATAATAATAAATTTTAACTAGATAACAACACAAACGAAAAAAAAACAAAACAAACAGATGTCAATTAAAGAGGGGAAGTGACAGCGAGACCTGGAAGATGTCTGCCATCTTGCCGTCGACAAAAATTTGGATGCGCACTCGTCGAAGCTCATTCTCCCACTTCCATATCTCTGAGCGGTACCCTCCGTATACTTTATTTTAAACGTATTTGGTCGCTACCATGTGAACTAATCTGTTCAAGGTCACATAAAACTTAATTCCAGTGCCGTGGTGTTTCAAGTCATATAATAATCAATATATAATCTGTTGTAATTTGTTGTTTTAACTGCCAAAGACTTGTCAAAACATATATTTGGTTATAAATATAAAATGGAATGCCCCATTGGTCGCACTGCAAGCACACCAATGGACTGACGCACACAAACGAATCAATCAAAGAAATGCGATATAGTATCATCTTTGTCAATCACGCTAACATTTTAGAATAAGTAGGAGGAGCGCAGGCAGATGATTAGACCGGGCTTTTAAAAACCTACGTCTGCGATAAAAATTTACGTTTTTAATGTAAAAATGATAGCGCGCGTGTCGATTCTAACTTCATCAAGCGATGAATCACTCCCAAACATTCGTGGCGTTTACTTTAGTTATAGGTTATAGGGGTGAGTTACTTTTGAGACGCACCCGGTATTATACAGAGTGTTTCAAAAAAATATGTTCCATCTCTCTTGAGGATATTTCTCTGTTAAAAATAAGATTTATTTTTATGATGATATTATTTATTGAGCTTTGTTTCCTAGCTAGAGAGGGTTAAAGTCTTCATCAGTTTTCGATTTATTATAATTCTCTTCCAAGTTCTTTTAGTGATTCGAATGAAATTTTGAGGGTAAAATTTGAGGTTTAATTACTTGACCTAGAGCGCTCATTGTATAGGGAAAATATAAATAAATGCACTATAAGTACCGTATGATCGAAAAAAAAAGCGTCCAGTTGGCTTGGAAATAACGACCGATGACATTCCCCATATAATTTCACATATAAAATGACAGCGATCTTCATTTCATAGCCATCGCTGACGCCGTTGTTTTTTTCGATCATACGGTATGTATAAAAATACTACTCACCATTTTGAACCAGCTGTAAACCGTGAGCGTTGATTTGAATTCGTTCACTTCCACATGGCGAATTGTTAAGCCTAGTTTCACTCTAGTAACGTTGTAGTGTTGCGCAGGCCTTGCAAACTTGTCGTAGTTTAGAAGCAAGTCTCTGCGCAGCTGATCTGTATGCGTAGAGTTCCATATTGGTTGAGGTCCTATTTGTGAGAAAAAAATAAAAAATACGACTTATTCTTTAACAATATTCGTTTGAGAATTACATGAACTGTATTATACAGAGTCTTTTAAAAAATATGTATCATCTCTCATATTAGCTACAGAGGGTTAAAGTCTTCATCTTTTTCGATTTATTATCATTTTCATCCAAGTGCTTTTAGCGATTCGAATGAAATTTTGAGGGTAAAAGTTACTACAAGTGCGACATAATACTAAAAAAGTGTCGACATATTCACCAGGGACGTGCATGTGTTTTCACTGGAATATTTTTCTAAAAAAGTACGTGCGCCACTAATGACTTTGTTTCTCCTGTTTAGTTTTTGACTAATCCTGTATATATCAAGCAAGATTTGAACTTTTGAATTTTGAAGAAGACACTATTATACAGTAGTTTCTGTTTAAAAAAAAGTATTGGAATTTAGAATTTTGAGAGGGGTTTAAATAAGTAGTGTAAATTTTGTATAAATACAGGCTAGTCTGAACTGTACTCCGGAAACTTTGGCAGCATATTCTGCAGATAAAAATAAGTAAAAAAGTTTGTATAATTATATGTCCTAAAAGACTTAGTTTCTAAGATACAGGGTGTGGAAGTTTCATTTTTATTTCGATTTTTTCCAAATAATTTCTGAAGTAACCTCAATATTTAGATGAAAATTGGTGTCTGGTAGTTTTTTGATGAGAAATTTGATTTTGATGTCAATATGACTCCTACTTGTAGAGGGCGCCATCTACATGTGTTTTAACAGTTTTGAAGAGTAATAACTTTTAGGCTGTATCTGTATAAAATTACTGAGTGAAAAAATATACATTTCCGTAACTTTTTACGTAAAAAATGTCTCTTCGTAAAAATCGCTACAAGCAACCATTCTCAATAATTTTTTTAAATTAATCATAATTTTTTCTACGGAAAAATGATGGTAAAACAGTTTCTGTCGAACTTTTGGCAAACTTTTGATACAAAAACATTTCAAATTTATGATTTCAGTCTAATAACTATTTAGTCACCATGTTTAATTTATGTCAATGATAAGTAGCGATTTTTACTAAGAGACTTTTTTTACGTAAAAAACGTCGTAATTGTATATTTTTTTACTAATTAGTTTTACACAGGTGCGAACAAAAAGTTATTACCATTCAAACCAGTTTAAAATATGCAGGTGGCGCCCTCTACAACTATAGGTCATATTTCATATTGACATCAAGATCAAATAAACTCCCAGACACAAATTTTCATCCAAATATTGACGTTATTTCATAAATTATTTGTAAAAAATCGAAATAAAAATGAATCTTCTACACCCTATATCTCCAAAATTAAGCATTTTAGGGCATACATTTATACGAACTTTTTTACTTATTTTTATTTGCAAATTATGCTGCCGAAGTTTCCGGGATACAGTTCGGACCATCCTGTATTTTAAAAGGAAATCTCACAGTGGAAACGTGATACAGCACTTTTTTGGAACACTTTGTCATTCTGAACTTTTACTCTGAAATTTTATATATGCAAGAAGAACTATACACTTTGTCTCTTACTTACTGACTTGGGACCTTGCCACCACGCCCAAGTCGAATAGAACACTAACTGCGATCTGGAAGAGGGTCACCAAACACTTTAACTCAACCATATCCCCTGTTTGAAGACACTATTCGACCGAGTCTTATTTATTCAATAAATTGCATCCAAGAATATCATTCGGAGGGAACGTTTCGACTGATTAGATAATCGTTTCCTGCCTTTTTTCTATATTATCTGCCTGGCCAAGCGGGTGTTAAGTTAAAGCAATGGATGATTATTGTTATTGTTGTTTTTGTTCGGAAATTTTATTCGCACAAAAATTATTTTCAAGGATATTAGATGTTAAAGACCGTTCTATATACATTATTGTATACGGTTACGAGTTGTTGAGGGCTGAGCCGTTTAATATTTTTCTTCTTTTTTATACAATTCTCTCGCTATTTCTTTCTTGTTCATATTGGTACCACGGCTAAGGGTATTGCGGCGGGTTACTGATGGCTACCTCCGCGGCTGTTCTGGACGAAGCCCGCAATCCTGGGCGACTGTGGTTCTTGGCTGCAAATTGGGGCTTTAGGCTCCCGTTTGCTCCTAAATAGATACATTTCTGAAATGACAACTTCATTTGACAGTTATCTTTTACCTTGACTGGTGCTCATAAGTAAATACAGGGCCATAAGAAAGGAGAAATATTTAAAAAGAAATCGGCGATAACTCGTAAACGGGCTAATCAAAAATATCTAAAGTTATTCTTTTGAATGTGGGTTTTAGTGCTCTTCAATAAACCTAAATAGAATTATTCTCTAAAATAATTAGGGAAGCCAATAATTGACCACATTAAAATTTACATGGGATTTCCTATGTCCCGCTCGACGATGTAACACCCGGTATAGAACGGTATGTATATTAGGGTGGGCCTTAAATAAGTGCAAATATTTTTAGGTGTAGTATATTTCGACGCCAGAAACAAGACCATGAGTTTCTTTTCGCCAAAAAAATTGAATATTTTTTTAGGATATTTATTTAGTTTAGTAAGTAAAATAACTCGGTTATTTTGGATTTATTTATTTGAAAAACAGTAAAGGGATTGCCGATTCTTATAGAAAATTACCTCCTTAATCCAAATATGACCTTTTTTCCCCATCACTTCCGTGTTTGGGAGACACCCCTACCTATTCTTACTGCTTTTCGATATACAGGGTGTCCCAGAAATATTTTTTTTATTTTTTATTATGATTTATTAGCAATCAGAATATTTGCAAGGAAATTCTATGCTAATTTGATGACTGGAGAGCAATGACGCTCCAGTTAACGTGATGAGGTCTTCTCCAGTGAAAAATCCTCCTTAATATTCTTTCAAATCCGATGGCCATTGTCTTTTAAGTCTTCTTGTAGATACTGGTTCAAGTAGAGGCTCAAGTAAGGTATTGGTGTGATCGTGTAGTCTAATGAAATGTTTTTTACTCCGAGTTTGGATGACTTCTTTGACGTACGGAATTTTTAAATCCGATTTCAATATCGGAAAGTAGCCAGAAATAAACGAAATAAGTATTTTACTATAGCTATAGCTACCCAGAACACGCCCATGAGTTTTTTTGCGAAAAAAAAAATGTTGAAAATTTTATATTTTTCTTGACATTTTCCGGAAAACATTGGAAAACTTTTTAGTACCGCTTGTTCAGCTTTCGGAAGTTTGTTTATAGCTTTGTTCGGGTTCTTGTTATTACCGATTCTGAACCGTCCTAGAGAACTCTGCAGCGCATGCGCATAAAAATAATGTCTTCATATTTCCTTCTGCGCAAACGCATCACAGTTCTAGGACGGTTCAGAATCGGCAATAAGAGAAACCCGAAGTAAGCTTATATTGCTTCGAGAGAATGCGATGTTGCCACCTCCTACGATATTCACATTCTGAATATTTATATAAGTTTAAGTTAACATTTTTAAATTTCTACGAAAAAAAAACTTAAATTAATTTTATTCACTGTAGTTGTTTTAGTTATTGTAAACCTTGTACCAATAAGTATTAAGCCGCGTCCAAACTAGGCGAACAAAATGTGAATTTATGAATGCTTTTTTTTAATTTGTTTTGTACGCTTTAAAATGTTTACTATGTTTTCCTTTTTAATATTTAGAAGGTTATGTCGTTACTTTCTATAATTTTTAATAAATATATTAAAGAGGTAAATTTTAATTTTCAGATATGTGGATCAGCTTGAATATTGAGGTGATACAAATATTCTTAAACGTTTTATTTGTTCTAACTTCCACCAACATTCTTCCTCACCACACTCGCCTTGTACAATAGAATAACTTTTACAACCTTTAGTAAATGTTACTTTCACTAGTGAATGTTATAAATTACTAGGAAAAGTCGACAAATCTCTTTAAAATACCACATTCACTGGTCCAATGCGTAATTGTTAGCATTTCCTAGTGAATGTAAGCAATCACTGAATTTCCGACTTTCACTGTAACATATACATTCACACTGGATAAACCTGTCGGTATATAAAAGGAATATTTTGTTGAAATTTGATGGCTCTTACTCGCTGTCTCGATTTGAAAGCCGGCATACACTCCCAAGTCTAAGAAAACACTAACACCAATCTGGAAGAGGGTCACCAAACACTTCAACTTAACCATATCCTCTGTTTAAAGACACTATTCACACGAGCCTTGTTTATTCAATAATTTGCATTGAAGAATATCGTTCGGGAGGGAACATTTCGACTGATTAGATAATTGTTTCCTGTCCTTTTCAATATTATCTGCCTAGCCAAGCGGGTGCTAAAGCAATGGACAATTCTTATTGTAATTGTTGTTTTTTTTGCTAGTTATTTTTATCCGCAAAAAGGCCGTTCTAAATATAGACGAGTTTTTATTATTATACACTAAATATTCCATAGAATAAAACGCAACTCTACAGGGTGTTTCAAAGTATAATAACAAAGTAAAATAATTTTAAAATTTATTGATCAACTGTCAAAGTACATATTTCAAAAAAACTATGCTAATAAAAAATTAAATAATAATATAAAAATATTTTTCTCTGCGAGGAGACAGTAAATCATATAAAACGGGATTAAGTGAAAATAACCGGAATGTCAAAATATATTACATACCGAGAAAATCGATCGAGAAAAAAAAGTGTCACAGTAGACCTAAAAATATCGTTTTAGTTATTGGTAAACATTGAAATTACAACATAAGTAATGTACAAAAAAAAAAAGAAAACAAGTCTTTTATGTTGTAGCTGACGTGTTTTTGATTCAATCAAAGTATACATATATTGTGTGTTATCTATTTAATACTGACAGTTCAAAAAAATCTGTCTTAATTTGTAAAAAATGGAAAAGGGTAAAAAGCATCCTCATCAACTGAAGGAAACCATTCTAACAATTAATGGCACTAAATACTGCAGGTTTAGTTAGAAATAGAAACTACTAGAATAATAGATTTGCAGAAAGTATATAAAGTAAAGCTTCATTCAGAACCTCCCAATTAGTGGTTTTAATTTGCGTAGAAGTTTGGTCACCTATTTTTAATGTAAGCATCCTGAACGTCATAATTAGTGGCAGTAATTTTCAATTAGTCGAAAAAATTAACAAACTTCTGACTTTTCCACTAATTATACTTCAAAATTTGCGAGGATTTTGGTTAGAAGTTAAAAGTTATAAGCTAAATATTATGCTTTCTCTATGGATACAACAGACTACCGCAAGCTGTTGCTAGGATATTTTATTAATTTAAATCATAGATAAATGCAACAAGTTTAGATTGGAAAGCCCGTAAGAATTTTAGGTCGCGAAATTATTTTCGGTCGCGACCGTTATACGCGATCTGGCGCTGCTATAGCGGTCGCTAAGAACAACGGCAAACAAAAACAGAAGTAATTTTCTCTTGTCAAAGTCAGAATATTCAAAAATCATAATAATCTTTCAAAATCTAAACCGCTCTCATTAAAGAAATTCCGAAAAGTGTTTATAGCGTCCGTTTTCAAAGTAATTATTGCTATCTTGTGAGTTTAATTCAATTTTTATTTACTCGAACCGGTGATAATTGTGAAAAAGTGGCATTAAAAACTTAAAAAGCTGTGCTGTGAACTGTGAACTGCAAAAACCATCGTGGATCGTGGCATAACGTCGTTTTCCAATGTTTCATAGGTATGACGCATATATGAGCGTCCTTATATAAAATAAAGTTTCTTGTATGCAACACACTGTATTTTATTTATAAAATTAAACGAAAATAATAATAAATTTGAATAAACTATATTTGACGATATAATTCCGGAAAAAGCCGAACCGCTCCGAAATTTTCAAAAGTTTTGGGTCGCGACCGTTGCAAGAATAGCGCCAAATAGTGTTTACATTGTCCTTATGGGCACTTTCCAATCTAAACTTGTTTCATTTATCTATGATTTAAATTGTTTTTTTTTAGACATTGTGAATGATCGTAAATTAAAAAGTATAAAGTGTAATGGAAACCACTAATTTATTCCACTAATTGGGAGGTTCTGAATGAAGCTTAACGCTTCTGCAAATAAACGCTATGTTATACAGGGCCGTCTTAAATAAGTGCAAATGATTTAATTGGTACAAAAGATTTTTTTGAAAAAGAAAAATTGTTTACTAGCGGTTAATATACTTTTTTTATAAAGCTCTACCACACCGAAAATACAACTGCATTTATTTAAAAAATACCCCACACATATAATATGTTTCATGAAGTAAAAGATGATTTATAAATTTATAATAGAATTACTAAATTTAAATTAACATAAGGATTCAAAATTTTCATTAAGCTATCTCCACAATTATAACATTTTTCATTACTAGGGTTTTAAACAGTAGATAACGTAATACCTGTACAAACACAACTGGCATAAAATAAATACATAACAATAAATAACGTTTACTTTAACTAAAAATACATATAACTGAATAAAAGTTACTTTTGCACTATACTGGAAAATATGTATATATGTTGCGAATAAAAATTAAGTAGAACAATACGGATGTATTAGCACAGATTCGTCTATAATCTGGTGGCATTAATCCCGAAACACTGGCCTTATAATAGAGTTCAAAATTTAAAGAAAAAAAGCACCAAAATATCTTTGATCTAGATAAAAGTTTTTTATCTAGATCCCAAAGTCCAAAAATAGTTTGAGAACTACTGATATAACTGGTAAAAACATAATTTTCAGTGGTTCTCAATTTGTACCCAAAAACAATTTCTATATTATTTACTCCACAAGACAGAAGACTCCATTTTTTTTTGAATAACAAATTTCGTAGTATCTTTTACTAGAAATAAAAAACGTATACTTGAGGTATCAGTCCCAAAGCACTGATCTTTTAAAACAATACTAGCCCTGGTCACTTTATTTCCGTGATCTGTACTTTAATCCATACGACAGAGATAAATATATGCGACCTGTTGACAGACAGAGAGACAAAATAAAAAGCGGCATACAGTGTTGCCGGTTCGTATGAGAAATAAAATAGTAAACGAAGGTAATATACCTAAGCTATTCAATAATGCTTATTTCTTAACTTTTATCTCTTTAATACATTTGATTTTTCTTGAAGCTGTCTACGTCACTGTCTCAAACGTTAAAATCCAGACCACGCAGTTTATTTGATGACCAGATCGTTAGAAAAAACAGTGGTACCTACTAAACAGTCCAACAAAGTATGAGAAACACTGATACATCTGGAAAAACTAGAAAAGGCACACGAAAAATGTATGATCCTCTCTATATTATATTGAACAGAAAACTATTGATTTTTATATCTTCTTTATAAACTGTTTTACTAGAAATCATATAATAAAGGCTTCTTTTTTAACAACACACTATCTTAGTATCGTCTAGTAGAAGTAATAAAATATAATCTGTGGTATTAGTCCTAAATGTACCTTTTAATATAATTAAAAATAGCGCCAAAAAATATCTTTAATCTAGATTTACCCGTGGATCTCAAACAAATTTGAAAAAAGTTTGGGAACCTCTGATATATCCGGAAAATTTTAATTTCCAGTGGTTCTCAAACAGTACTCAAGTTTACTAACCTCTATATTGTTATACTGGAGGAAAACCTTTTGAATTGTTTTATATATTTTGTTAAACCATTTCACTAGAAGCCAAATAAACAAGGCTCTTTTTTTAACAACTCTCGTAATATATCTTACTAAATGTAACAAAACTTAAGAACAATAATTAAAATAAGTAAAGCTTTTAGGCTGCATCAAGTGTATTCGTCTATAAATCCTGATAGACTTTGATTTCGTCATAGTTTATTGGTGTGAGATCGCGAGGTTTCCTCGAATATTTCAGCCCTATCTCGTCAGCTACCTTCTCTATGATTTTTAGAGTATAATCCAGTTGTTCTTTGGTATGTCCGGCCGACAAACAAATCCTTATTCGGCCTTGAAACAGCGGTGTAGCTGGATAACCTACGCCTACAGTAGCGATCTTTTCCTTGATCAGCGTCCTAACCATAGCCCTAAACACCAAAAATAGTCTATTTATTACATACCGAGTAGGAGTATATAGTTGCGAAGTGTGAAACAGTAGAAAAAAGAAAAATGGGAGAAGACTAGTAAGGGTAATGGAAATACGTAAAAAAATAAAGTCCTCCATAAGAAGATCTAAAAAATAAAAAAGTTATTTTTTGTAAACACTGCTGCGTTAATCCAACGGAGACCAACTTGTCAGCAGTGATTTACTAATAAACAAATTTGCCCAACAGACAAAAAAATTAGTCAAGTGCGAGTCGGACTCGCGCACGAAGGGTTCCGTACCATTCATTATCTATATAACATTAGACACTATATTATTATAAACTTTTTTTCCGATTTAGCTGAAATTTTAAATGCGCGTATAAGTAATTTAAAAAAAAATGAAGAAACGCATTATTAAAATTGTATTAATCAATAATAAATATGTAAAAAGTAAAAATAAATATGTAAAAATTAAAAAAAAAACGATTAAAAAAAGTCCCCTTGACTAGGATTCGAACCTGCTTTACTACGGCTCCATCGTCATAGCAGCGTAAAGTCCTAAAGCTTTAACCACGCGGCCACCGAGGACTTGAAAGATTCTATGTAAAACTATGTAAAATTCTTACTTAAAAGATAATGTTTAGTGAAAGTACTTTTTTATTTATAAACATTTATTTAATTCTGTTTTTAGTATTTGTTCTTATAGCGGCAACATAGATACATTATCTGTAAAAATTTCAACTGTCTAGCTATTATAACGGCTCATAAGATAGACCTATGTGACAGAGGGACGGATCGACGGACAGCGAAGTCTTAGTAATAGGGTTCCCGTTTTTACCCTTTGGGTAAGGAACCCTAAAAATTCTGAATGTTTCGGGAAATATATCTCTTCAACAGATACGACTATAAAAACCGTTGACGTTCTGTTAAAATCACATTATATATAGCTAAAATAAAAAAAAATTCAAACTTTCTGCATATGATTATTTTTTAATTTGATTTTAATTTTTACTTATGTAATGTTTATTTATGTCATGTTCATTAAATTCAAAAAAGCGATAACCATACATTACTAATCTCTACAGATGCCTGAGCAATACATTTATTTTTATTAGGCTGTATTAGAACACAATAGATCTTTAAGGTCGCAGTGAACCTTACTCATTAGGCTGTATTAAAAAAGCCTCTTTTATTTTCCGTTTAGAAGCTATCGCTTCTTTCATATTTTTTGCGTTGTTAAAATCTACCCTGTGCTCTGTGTCCCATGAATGCTGACAAATCTTAGATTTGTGAAAATCGCCCTATCTTAAATTAATCTTTATGTTCTTTAATTTGAACATTTGAGGGTGTATTGTCAAAATTTTATGATATTTATTTTATTACTTAGTAAATGCTTTTATGAAAAATCCTTACCCAATTTTCGAGTAGAAGTAAACTAAAATAGGTACCACAGGGGAATCATCATTTCCATGGATGATAACTCCTATTTGTTCCAACCTCATTCGAAAATATCTATAAAAAAAGATTAACAAATCTGCTTAAATATACAAAAATGTTTCTCATTTCCACTTTTAAAACTATACATATACATACAATATTGTCCTACTTCATAGACAAGCCTCTTTGACATTCCACTGAATAAAAACAGATTTTTTTGTCGCGAAAAAAAAAAATCAAACAATATGAAAAATAAATACAATGCTTCTCATTCCTTTCTGTTTTTTTTCTATTCAGAGTATGGAGTGTAGAGATGAGGAGAAATATCTCTTATGGAACTTTATTTGAAAAAATGGGAAGAATAAGGGTTCACCAAATAACCACAGTGGCGCTAATGACACATAAATCTAAAAAAATGAAAAGTAACCATAGATAAGAGAATAAAAGTAACATAACCAAACATTCCCCAAAAAGCTTTGTTTTTATTTTTTAGAATATAAAACAATTATTTTTATATATTAGAGGCCCAGTCTATTGCTGCTGAATAAAAATCGAAAATTTATTGCATGTGACATGAAAATAAAATTTGTATTTTTTTGAAACCCGCGCCTTCACGTCAAATATTTATCTCTTTTGAATAATTTCCTGTTATAAAAATTTTCGGCGCGTATTTTAAATTTCAGATTTTTGCAACAGTAGCGCCATCTTAAGTCTTCCCTTTTTTATGACCATTTTTTAATGCACAAACATATTTCTCCTTACCTCTACACTCCATAGTTCAGAGTAACACACATACTACACTAACCTAACTTGCTAACCTGGTATTCCTTGCCAAAGTCTCTATCCTCCTCTGGCCTTCGTTGGTGCCGTCTTTTCCCATGAGTATCTTCAAAACGCTTATGATTTGCGCCGCTAGAGGAGGCGACATGGCCCAGGCATGAGAAGATGCAAAACTGTTTTCTCTCAGGTACGATATTAGTTTCTAAAACGTTCACGCAAGGCATTTTAAAATTGTTTTAGGAAAATATGGTTATGAGTTAATTACTTTTGATCCCGCTATATACCCTCCGGCGCTGCCAAAGCTTTTGGTGAAGGTTCCCATGAGAATATCAATGTCTTTGGGATTTAAGCCGAAATAGTCGACGATTCCTTTACCATGTTTACCCATCGCACCTGAATTAATAAAATATTCAAGAAATAATAAAATACAGGGTCGCTTTTATGTATGGAAAAGGAAAAAGTAAAAAGAATGGAAAAGGTAAAATATAGAAGGTACCGCAAAAAGTCAAATATAAAAGTTACAGGATTTTTAAATATCTATTAGCGAGTAATAAATTTAAGTATACAGGGTCGTTCATAAAGTCGTGGCACATCAAAGTTTCATTTTTTTAAATAGAACCCACTGTATATTATTACATATTTCAATTCTTCCTTCAATTCTAACCAAAAAATGAAATAAACACAATGTACTTCAAACCAACCATTTCCGAGTTATTGACTTTTGAAAATATCACTTAAACAATTCAATTTAATTAATTTCGATGTGTTTGGTTTGATTTAATGATGCCATTCTACCGAAATTGTGATACTGTTGTAATGGGTTTTTAAATTCCTATTAGCTATAAGTAAATTTAAGTATACAGGGTCGATCATAAAGTTGTGCCACATCAAACTTTTTTTTTTTAAACGAAACCCCCTGTATATTATTGCATATTTCAATTTTTCCTTGAATTTTAAGCAATAATCGTAATACACAATGTACATAAATTGAACAATTGAAATGTTAAACAAAAATTTTGTAATTTCCAGATTTGATATACTCTCATTTTATACATCTACTAGCGTGTACCAGCGACTTCGTTCGCGTCGAATCATTTGTAATAGTGATAATAAAGCAAAGCAAGAATTTCCATTAACATACAAACTAGATAAAATTTTCTCACATTTATGTCAGCATGAGAAAAAACAATATGGCGATATTATTATATAATTGGTAATATTTGAGGGGTAGTTTCATCTAGTTGGAATTTGACTTTCGAAAAATCCGTTTGCTAAAAATAAGCTTTTTACGTCAAGCAGTTTAAGCAGAATCGTGGTTAAGAAATTACCCAACTTTCTGGAATACCCTGTATGATTTTTCAAGAAAATTCAAAATATGTAAAAGAACCAAATAAATTATGCTTGTCCAAGCGTTTTCCCGAAAGACTAACCGTTTTTTAAATAACAAATATTGTATTATTTGAGGGGCGTTTTCACCCTCTTGGAATCTGAGATTCGAGAAACCCCTCCTTATCGAACCTCTACACGCCACAGTCAATCCGTTTGCCAAAAATCAGCTTTAAACGTCAAGCAGTTTAAGCAGAATCGTGATTACTCAATGGTCATATTTTATGAAACACCCTATATAAATTTATAAAAAACAACAAAATAAAATACGTGTTTAAGAGTTTTTCCGAAAAACTCACCGGTTTTTAAATAAAAAATATTTGAGGGATAGTTTCACCCCCTTAGAATTCGAGTTTCGAAAAATCCCTTCTTATCGAACCTCTACATCGTAAAGTCAATCTGTATTCCAAAAATCAGCTTTTTACGTCAAGCGCTTTAAGCAGGATCGTGATTTAATCAATGACCAGATTTTTCGAAACACCCTGTATACATTTTTTAAAAATCTTAAAATATGTAAAAAAACAAAATAAAATATACGTGTTTAAGCGTTTTTTCGGAAACTTGACCGTTTTTTAAATAAAAAATATTGTAATATTTGAGGGGTGGTTTCACCCTCTTGGAACTGGAATTTCGAAAAATCCCTTCTTATCGAACCTCTACACCCTAGAATCAACCTGTATGCCAAAATTGAGCTTCTTACGTTGAGTGGTTTGAGCAGGATCGTGATTAATCAGTATATCAGTCACTTAAGGATTTTATATATTAGTATAGATAAATGCTAACTTGAGAACTAATGTCAAATATTATTAAGTATCACAGTTTCGGCAGAATGGCATCGTTAAATGAAACTGAACATATCAAAATTAATTAAATCAAATTGTTGAAGTGATATTTTCAAAAGTCAATAACTCGGAAACGGTTGGTTTGAGGTACATCGTGTGTATTTCGATTGTTGCTTAGAATTGAAAGAAGAACCGAAATATGCAATAATATACAGGGGGTTCCATTTAAAAAAATAAAACTTTGATGTGCTACGACTTTATGACCGACCCTGTATACTTAAATTTATTACCCGCTAATAGATATGTATAAACCCTTTAACTTTTATATTTTATATTAGCGATGGGAACTATCGAACGAATTAGACTATCGAATGGTTACTGAATGAATGATTTCAACTATCGAATGGTTTTATTCGAATAAAATCATTCATTCATTTGTAAACTAAAGCATATGTGACAACCTCGCCGTGCGACTAAATGGTTATCGTTGCGCCACGACTATCGAATGTTTTTGATAAATGAAATTTAGTATTCGTTTGATTTTTGTGTGCGTCAGTGCATTATTAGTTCTTCAAATTTTTATAACTTGGCCTTGTAAATACTATGCTATTTTGCGTTTATTAAAATATTTAAAATACTAAAATAGTAGTTTTTTTTTAATTGACGATTGTGTGCGAAGTGGTCAAAATTTTTCCGAAAATTTGTGTGATTTTCCGTAGCCCGATCTTACAATTATTTAATTTTATATGGTATATTATGGTTAGGTTAGATTGCATTTTTTTTAATCGGAAATTTTGAGAAGTAGCAATTTTTAAGAGAGCTGAGATCAACTTACAATTAATTTTAAAAATACATATTTGTATTTTAGATGTTTTAACAATATGAATTAGTTGAACTTAATAATCATATTTAAGTAATGTGGTTAAGTAAATGGTTATCGAACTCAAATTTTGGGGTGAGAAAATTAAATTGAAAGTTTTACACGTGCCAATTTTAAAAAAAAGTTAACAATGTTTGTATTTTCTTTATGCTAATTCTCTTACATGTGGTTTTTTGCGAAGAAATATTTCATTTATTTTTTAAAGTAAATGCCAGCAAAAGTAAATATATTATTTTTAAATAGTAATATAAAGTAATAAAAAGTAATATAAATAATTTTGATTTCTAATTTTTTATTTATATTTTCCTTCCATTACACTGCAGGCTTAGAAAATTAATAAGTCTTTATATTTCATGATTTTAAAATTTGTTGTTAATATAACAAATTAGTTCTGTAATTATTATTATTTAAAAAACCAACGTTGCCACATAGAGACTATATTATTTTTAAATAGGATCTAATATAAATACTTTTGACTTCTATTTGTTGTTTATATTTTGCTACTACTTAAAAAAGATGTTTATATTATTAAATGATTGTAAATTTTGTTGTTAATAGGTATAACAAATTATTACTGTTATTTTATGAAACTAAATAAAAAGATAAAATAAAAATTTTATCAATGTATTAAACCAGTCTTTGCTTAATAACATTAAAAATCATTTTCCTACATCCAAAATAAAAAGTATTATTGCAGTGTAACAACAGAATATATTAATAAAAAAATGCAAAACATATATAGACATACTATCCCTAACTAACTAATGCTAAAGAATAATATTCTTTGCTAATACCAACTAATACGAATATATGGCAACAGCGCCCTTCATAATATATTTTCTGTGTAAATCCTATAGCACCTCAATAAAAAAAATAATGTGTCCTTATCTTTATTTGACTCCGCAAAAACATCAAAGATGCCGGCTTCTTTCATAGCATTGCCACCGACCGCTGTCGGGTTTCTAGGAAAGAAACCTACGTCGCCGGACGACAACTAAAATCCAGTTTATATTTTATTAAAATCGATCCTGACGAATAAATGAATTTGATAAATGAATGAATTTTATAAATGAATGGTTTTTGCTGCCGAATTACTAGAATACAATATTTCAAGGCAGATGACGCATCTATTCGATATTTTTTATTCGAATAGTTTTCAACGAATGTTTTCTTACTAGCTATCGAATTATTCGAATGAATTGCAACTATCGAATGTTTCGATAGTATTCATTCGATAGTTCCCACATGGTTCCCACTACTATTTTATATATAAAGTTTTTGCGGTACCTCCTTTATTTTGCCTAGTGATGTTAATATTTCGGAAACTTTTGATTGTTGCAGGAAATTTCCGAAACTTTTACAATTTTACATATTTTTTGTTGTGATACAATGAATAAATTAGATAGACATTTGATACCAACATGTAAGTGGAAAAAAACAATAAATATAATATTAGTTGTTATATTTTTAATAAACAATACATAACTCCTAAAAGTCATAAACATAATATATAACAAAAATTATTTGGTAACATTTGTACTTTGTACATAAACCATGAACTATGACTATGAACTTAAAAAAAAACAAAAAAGCACGAAATATTAATTTAAAAACGTAAAACACAAATAACTGAATTATTCTATTCCGGAATACTTTCAGGCGCCGAGCTGGTCCCATCTTCATAGGGGATTATAGTAGTAGTAGTAGTAGTAGTAGTAGTAGTAGTAGCAGTACTGTTTTCGTCAGTTTTTATTTCAAAATCAGGTATATTTGATGTAACATCTGGTTCTGATTCTGAAGGATGGACCTCTACCTCTACGGGTTCTAGTGGTTCTGGAGAAGTTTCATGTTGTTGCATATCATGTTCCACATCCACTTTTTGTTTTTGTAATAATAATTTATTGTTATGAGCTACGAACATTATTTTGCCGGCTCTTTATGCAGTTAAGCGATTCTTTTTTTAGTATGGATAAAACTGTAAGTACTGAAACTTCTCTCAGTGGCTGCAGATGACGTTGTTAAAGACAGCAGAGCAACAGCTAAATATTTCTACTGAGTATTTTTACATATTGCTTGCCACCAACTTAGACAGTCTACATTTTTAACTGACATCCAAAAGTAGTCGAGAGCCCATAAACCCGATTTGGCGCAATAATTTGTTACATCTGTAAAAATGGCTTCTTTATTATTGACAAACTGAGGACGTTTGTTGGTGATATTGTTGATAAATTCTATAGCGGCTATGTGTTCTTCATTGTTAAGGTGCTCTCCCAGGAAACAGAGGATTCGCGGAAATAGAGATTCGCGGCAAAATGCATTATTTTAAGAGCCATACGTTTTCTATTTTGTAAGGCGGAGAAGCATTCTTTTTGTTCTGATTTAAGAATAGGCATACTTGATACACTGTCGTTAAATTTTGGCTCAATGTCTTGAATTTTGAAAAGAAATTTCTTGCAAAATTCGGATTTTTGCGAATATTCGCGATTTTGGGACCAAACATTTCGGAAATTTCTGAAATTTCCTGCAAAATTCGAATGGAAATATTCGCTACCAACATCACTAATTTTACCTAATAATCGACCGTTTCCATACATAACAGCGACCCTGTATACTAATTAAGAATTTTTGCTAAAAAAATACACAATAATAATAACAGCTTACCTATACTATGGGCCTCGTCCAAATACAGGTAAGCTTTGTACTTTTTCTTCAAGACAATAATTTCAGGTAATCTCACAATGGTACCTTCCATACTGTAGATTCCTTCAACAACTATCACAATTTTTTTCCACGGTTTGAAGGCACCTTTTGGTTGGTTCGGTTGGCCAAAATAGATGGCCTCTTTCAGGAGTTCCTCCAGATGATTCACATCTTTAAAGAAAACAATAAAAATATTATTTTAAAATTCAATAATAAAGGACGGTAGACTGTACAAAATTTATCAAAAGTAATACGAATGTGAAATTAAACCTAAATAGTTTTTTTAACAAACGGCTTGGTTGGTTGATGGCTATGAAATGAAGATGGCTGTCATTTTATATGTAAAATAATATGGGGAATGTTATCAATCGTCATTTCACAGCCAACTGGACTTGTTTTTTTTAGATCATACTGTATTTGTACAAGATCAATAATTCATCTATATTTTCTTTCTAATTATTGGCACATAATATTTGAAAGGACTCAATATAAATTTAAATTAGCTCAATGCCAAGTTTGCTGGCAAGAAATAAGCCAACCAATTATAACTTTGATATTTTAACAACTAGGAAGCTTAATTTAAACCGAATATCAGCAGTATTTACTAAAAAAGTATAAGGTTTGATCAACCATAAAAATTATTTATAAAAATACCCAAATCTGTGAAATTAGACAACAAAAATGTATATTTTAAATAACGTCATAGAGAAAAAAATATATTTATTACCAAAATAGAATATAATTATTTAAATTTTTAAAGCTTATCTTATTTTTAATTTTATATTGTTATATTAACGGTCATCCAGACAGTGGCGAAACTCAATAAACTTTTTTGTTGGTCTTATCTACTATTTTATCTAATGGTGCAAGTATACACTTGGCGAGGCGACCCGAGGCGAGACAAAAAAGGACGTTCCTAACCAATAACAATGTACATATCGTTCATTTTTTTTCGCGCCTCGGGTCGTCTCGGCGAGTGTGTACTTCCAGCATAACAGATTAGAATTTTTTTTGAATTTTTTAGAAAAAATTCTAAAGCATAACAGATACGCTCACAGCTTTATTTTTTTACCTAAATTTAGTCCTTTTTTAAATCGGTTTGATTATTTTTTTAACCTGTTACATTTTTTGTTTATTTTATTTTTGTAACTTTTAAATGCAGTTACTTATTACATCCCCTTGTATTGACGCCACGCTACGCCGCTGGTTTCAGATGAAAAAAGCGCTAATAGTTAATATTTTATAACTTTATCAGATAATTTTGTTACTGATGTATCTTACCAAATAAAAAGCAATGACTAAAATAACTTTTAAAATGTTTAAATTATTTATAGAATTATCTATGAATAAAAACGCGTTAAACATCGCTCATATTTTAGAAGGATTAACACATTAATACCCAAGATAAGCTTATTTGTTTGGGTTTAATACCAACTTAATGAATCTATTTTGAGAATGTTTTACTGGAAATTAAAATTATAAACTCACCATTATGTTTAAACACCCTCACTGTCGCCCCCGGTAATCTGATGCCCCAAATCAAACTGGCATGGTTCTTTTCATCACTGATCACAAGGCACCCGGGTTCAACCAATGTAGGAATGTTCAAAGCGTTAGTTGCATAGCCCATGCCACAGGTTATAGCATCGTCCACGCCCAAATACTCAGCTAATAGTTCTTCCAGTTCATTGTGCAGTGGGCAAGTACCGTACTGAAGCCTTGTGCCACCCGTGCTTATTCCATAATCGTAGATTGACTTGATAGCCGCCTCGGCACAGGGGCCCGAGGCTTCAGCAAAGCCCAAATAGTTATAAGAAGCTAGGTTAACACATTTTGTTTCAGTTCCTGTCATCCTGTAATGAGAAAAAAAGTTTGGTTTGGTTTGGTGCAAAATTTGAGGATTTTTTTCCAAAGCATACCTACAAAATATACAGGGAGTTTGAATTTTCCGTGAACATTGAACAACTAAGTATTTTTTGAATCAAAATAAGCTAATTGCACACACTTTACCTCTATAGTTAAGTGCTTAAAATGCATAGTAGTTCTATGTCCACTAGGGTGGCTCAAAAATATTGATTTTTTTTTTCACTATAATATACTCTGAAAAAAAAGTTGGTAGACACTGGTAGACACAATTTCCTGCAAACATGTGAGACAATATATTTTTTCCAAATAGTAGATATCGAGATATGCATTTTTCTTTCTAATAAGGAAAAAATAGAAAACTGAAAGGCAGAGGACCTTCCTATTAAAATTAAGAGCTCATTTTTTTGATTACTTGGATTAAAATCCAAATGACCACGGAATATTGGGACACCCTATTTACGTTATGATAGAAATTTAATTTTGAATATCTCACTCAAAAGTCCATCCATTATCCCTGGTTATTCTGTCTTTGAGAACTACTTCGCTGCCCGGAACACTACATATCGGGTGATTCCAACAATCTTTCACTCTCCTATATACATATCTCAAATAGAAGGCAGAAAATCTACAAAAGAAACATACAAGTCTTTCCTATACATTGTTAATAACAAGTTACCTGTCGTATAAGGGTGGATACCCAGCTCGACCCTTCTCTTTAACCACTTTCGGTGGCCGTAGCAACTGACTTAAAAATCCTAACAGCATAAGAATGTAAAAACTTATCTGGGTCAGAATTGCGGTGATTAAAGTCGGTGGTTCAAAAGATTCTTTCAGTACTTTTGTACTGGGTTTGTGTGTTTCATTAGAAGTTTTCTAGAAAAAAAAACAACAAATTATTTTGAACAATAGTACATTGTTTAGGAGGATATAAAACTTTTTTATGGTGAATTTTTACGAGTAGTAACATAAATAGAGCGATAAAACTAAAGAATTACGCGCATAGAATATATTTCAGGCTAAAATATAATTTGGTAATAATTTTTTAACAAACTAAAATACTTACGGAATTGAGTTTGCCATTTATGACGCCGTTCATCTTATCTATTCGTTTGAATCGCTGAAACCCAATTCAAGATGTTCATTTAAACAATTAAACTAATAAAAAACTTTCTGGCATGTCTAGCAATAAATGAAATCGGTTTGCTTACATTCAGTCCTGAGTTTTGGCATTTCGTTTTGATGTATCCATTTCCGTTCTGGGTTAGTGTAGATCCGTTAGTTTCTAGGCCCATTATGGCGCGATTAATTTAATAAATAAGAGGATAGTTAATGTATAAAAATAAAAATAAAACGCCAAACCCACTGGCGAGGATATAACCTCACAAACACGCAACGCCCAGTGTGTTTTCGCGACTGCGACAGGGAAAAATCGTGTTCTTTTCGCCGAAAACTGTATGTAAACTTAAACTTGTGCGCAAAGTGTTTGCGGTATGCGGCGTTTCAGATTGGTCGCGCGACCTTCGAATTATCAACGAAAAAAAAACGATAAAATTAACAACTTTTAATTATATTTCGACACTTTTTCGATTTGTTATAGTTAAAAAGTTAATTATGTCGATTTTCTTTCAAATATTTCGTGTATTTCTATCAAATATAGAAAGCACATCAAAATGGTATCAAAATGTAAACGAAATTTTATAGATTTGTTGTCATGGTAACGCATTTGTGAATCATCAAATTGCAACGTCAATGCATTTTTTCACAGTGGCGCAGTATTTTGTTTTTCATATAATTTCAATTAAATCTATTTAAAACAAACATCAATTAAAGCATTTAAAACGGTATTTAAAAGTATGATCTCTTTTAAAAATACAAAACGAAATTCGATAAAAGGAAATTCACACGAATGTCAAGTTCAAGTGATCTTAATTACGTAATTTTCTAAACATTTTTTATCGCATCGCAAAATATGAGTCACTTTTGTATACTACAAGAAGCTGAAATTGATTAGGATGTATTTACCCCGAAAACATATTCCAAAATTATTGTTTTTTTTTGTTTAAGCTAAAAAAATAGAAAGTAATGAGTTTATTATTTAGCGGAATAGTACGTCTATGTTGGCAGGTGATTCATTGTTTCCCCTCTCTGAATCCCGTTCTAGGCATACCAACGTTGCCAAATGGTTAAATAATAAATTAAATTTATTTTAAAAATTTAGTTTAAATTAACTGATGATATTTGGAAAAAAATAAGTGTGGGCGAAACTGTGTATTTTTTTCTATTGAACGTTTAAGAGATTTTATGTTGTCTTTTTATTATATGGTTGTAAACAGTAATTTAATTAGGTGCATGACATTTGGCATTAATGTAACTTTGGCAACTGTGTCGCTTGTTGGATATCAACGGGAGACGAATCCAACCGGCAAATCAAAAAACCATCGTTCAAGAACCAAATCGCTACTGAAACGGTATCTAAGTGCAAGAACATCCACCCATTTCTCTTCGTATGTAATTAAGAGCGTTTACTTGACGGTTTTTAATAAGAGGCGCGAGTGAAACTCATTAAAAATGGATCATTTGAAACAATTCGAGCCCCCGAGATTCGACAGCGAATCCCCAGACGATTTCGAACATTTGGGGCACGACAGCAGCCCCCTGCAAGAATTTAAACAGCATACAGAAGACCTTTTGGGGTTAAAATCGTCTGGCGAGGACACGCATGAACGCCACGAAAAAATCGATAAGCAGGAAAAGAACGAGTTCAACACCGCAGCAGGAGACAGTTTATTAGACCAACCCCTAATACCACAAAAAATGGAAAGTCTTGTTGATCTTAATCCAGCCCCTTTTTCCAACAGGAACGAAAACGAAGAGAATATAAACAGGTTTTTGAAAGATATGACTGATCCTTTTGCCAGTGTTCAGCCACAGGAAGTGTCATTTAACGCCAGCAATATAAATTCGTTCTTGAATAACGAAAGAGGCGGGTTAAAAGAGCCCCATCACGATGAAGTACTGGAAAAATACTCGGACAGTGAGCCTGAAAGTGATGAATTTAGATTCAACAAGCCTGAAGAAGTTAAAAAGTCTGTCACTGATAACGTTGTTCCTGCACAAACCAAAACAGAAACTTTCAAGGATATTCCTGAGCTTCCACATAAAGACTACGAAGAAATATTGAAAGAAGAACCAAAACAGAGCAAGGTGGAACCAGTCAAGGAACCAGAACCAGTGAAAATTCAGCCAAAAATTGTTCCAGAAAAGAAACCAGCTGATCTTCCTGCACCTCAGAAAACTGAGGTGTGTGCCAAGAAACTTCCTGGACAGAAATTCACAGACGCTGAAGCATTATTCTGTAAAATGGGGTTGGGTAAGTTTATTTTATCAATATATTTGCACGCATGCATGCTAACATTTAATTTGCATGATGTAGGTTTATATGAGGGTATTTTTTATCTTTCACCTTGAATCTCGGTTAGAAACAATAATTAGGGATAAATATTTACTCTATTTTATTTTTTTGAATTTGCAACACTGTTTGCTGGGTATTTTTATATAAGCATATTTGCATCAGAACTCCTATGCTAATCCTTTGTATCTATTTTGTTTACTTACCTCATTTAATGACTCATACTTGTTTTCTAAAGAATGATTTCAGGCTATAGAAATTTGCTTTAAATACTGAATCTCTCAGAAATAATAATGATTAATAATTATTTAATGAGTGGATTTAGTTTATATTCATAATTAAGTAAATAAAATGAATTTATTTTCTATTTTATGCGTAGAAGAGAGATATTATGCCTGGTTTATACAACATACCTAGTCGTGATCATAATCACAATAATTTTAAGGTATTATCCCTACAAATTCTGTTTAATATAGATAATTTGGTTTAAGTAACTATTTTCAGAGGTTTGGATACTTTCAAAAATAATAGATCTTTTTTTGAAAATCTTAACTCCCTGTATATTTCACACATCACAATGAACTATTTTTGATGCTATGTTGATTGTTGATATGAAATTAAATCATCGTTTCTTATACAATATGATCGAAAAAAACGGCGTCAGCGACGGCTATGAAATTAAGATCGCTATCATTACATGTAAAATTATACGGGGAATATCATCGATCCTCATTTCCAAGCCAACTGGACGCCGTTTTTATTATATATTTATTAAGATCGGCAAAAAAAAAGTTTTTTAATTTCACTCAAAATTAGCTATTTGGGTCATAAATGACCTAAATACAAAATATTTTCATGGTGTCTGTCTGTCTGTCCGTCTGTAACACGATAACTCAAAAACCGCTAAACCGATTTTAACCAAATTTGGCACAAAAATACTGTGGCACCCGAGAATCTGGCCATTAGTTTTTGATGGGGGTGGTGGTTGGTAAGGGGGTATGGAAGGGGGTTAAAAATTTAAAAAAATCGTAACTCCAAAATTACAGTAGCTAGCGAAACGCGGTTTTCAATTTAAGATTAGGAATAATATTTGCAACAAAATTTGTAATAACATCAAAATCAGTCAAAGTCGCAGTTTTTGAGATAAAAAAAATTGGAAAATTCCTTTACTTTGAAACTAAAAAAACTGCCTATCAACTTTTTATTAACATATTTTAGTATGGGCGGCTATACGTGTCTCCCGGCGCCAATTTTTTTTTTCGTTCATACAGTACTTAGATATTAAAAAATGGAAGCTAAAATTTTAAATGGAAAACTGAGCTTTTTTCGAAAGTGTGATTCCACCTCTATAAGTATATTAATATACTTTTTATTAATACCCTGTAAACTTTTTTTTTGTTATTTTTATCTCTCAGTTGACGTGTTATTGTTTTCAGTGAGGTATTTGACGTGGCCTTTCAACGATGATTCTGTTAATCATCAATTTGGGCGTATCTCCACCATATTAGGTCAAAGTACCACTCATTTGAGTATGATTCTAGACTAGACCATTCAAATATAGACTCATAGTTATCAATAACGATACTTAATATTATTTATCTTTTAAGTCATCCCCAGTTATGTGCTTGTCCTTTGCTCTTGGAGCAAAGTATGTTCTGTATCTAAGCATGCAGAAATATACATTGTTGTCTACATATAATTAAAATGGCTAAAATTGGAATATTTTCAAAACTTGCTTTGTGATATTCCTTGATTATAAAAGCTTACTAAGAGCTATTAAATTGAAGGATTTTAAGGATATGTTTGAAAAACTGTAGTTTGAAATGTCCGTTTGAGGACTCCATTCGGGTACCTCTATCCACGTGCCGAGTTTGGTTCCAATCGAATCGACCCATAATTAAAGAAAATCCTGATGATTTCGTCCATTTAGAGGCATCGATTCGAAACGTCGAGGGCGTCATCCTGTAGCCCGTCCCCAACAATGCCGAAATCGACCCACACTTTTCTTCATTATCAAATCCTTAGTCCTACCCTGATGAAGATGTAAACGAAACGTCTCGTCGTATCCAACTTTGCAGGGTAGGACCTTGTGCACCGTCGCTCACATAGCCTACCCACCAAATTTGGTCGCGATCGGACCACAGAATTTAACGGATCGGACGACATTAACTTTTGACGTTTCTTACGTCAAAACTAACTGCCACAGTGACACGTGCTGTACGCTCAAGTTGGTCTTGGTCTAATATATCGAAATACCAAATTTCATTTAAATCGGACGATTCCTTGGCCATTGATGATGGGGTTTGGTTTGTTGTACGAAACGTCTTCAAAAATATGAACCCATACCGAGTTTCAGCACAGTTTCAGGTCCCTAGCTCACATAGGGCCCGATTTTTTCGATCGTTACCACTTTTCGTGACGCGTGTCGTGACTACATACAGCTCGTGTGTCACGGCCTTGAATCTTTATTCCCAGCGCGCGTAAAGAAGTTTCACTTCAAAAATGATTTATCGTGGTTCTTATGCCGGGCGACAAAAAGTAAATACGATTTTGAGACAAAAACATGACAAAAAATGGGGAATTTTGACAAGGCAAACATGAGACAAATTGTCCACACCGCAAGGACAAAAGTACAACAAAGTCAAAAGTTTAGTTGTTGCGAATGAGTTTTATTAACCATGTGTGATTTCACTGGTCTCGTACTGTTGGCAGCACACGCCATCCACACTGCACCGACAACTTATCGCAAAATATACGAATAAAACATAGACAATAGAAAAGTCTCCGAATTTTGAAACAAAACAAAAATAGGAGAAATGTATTGGATTTGTCGCAATTTTGTCGTAAAACATGAATGTTTCTGTCTTGTCGTTGTTTTGTCTGCTTGGTCTAGACCCGGAATTATAAGTCACCCTGTAGATATGAATAGGCATATCCCCCAATGCACGACGTTATCAATAATTCCCAACCTTCAATTGATTAAGGAAGCGCAAGCGCATCTTTGGTTCCCTAGACACACATGCACCTCTAAACTCGAACATCTCTAGTTGTTCAGTTATAAAGAATCGGTCATAGTACGATATTTTCCGGTACTCTACAATTAATACACGTTTGTTTTTCACTAAACCTTCGCGAATTCCATCTCTTTTTCTATCGTTTCCGACCCCTGGCATCTGTCAAACGCGCGCCACCCTCTCGATTATCGATCGTAGCCAGCCCAGTCCAAATCGAAAAGGGCAGCTATGGTGGACGAAGTGAAAAAGGTCGCCAACGAGGTAGTGGACGAAGTTTTGAACGGCGTAGGCTCGGAACTGAGTAGACCCAGCAATAAGGGCGAGAAAAAAGCGAAGGGAAGGTCACTGTTGTGCGTCATGTTTTGTCCAAGTAGGTATCACAATTCAGCCCTTGAGTATAGCATGAAATGCGTTTTTTTGTATACGTAGTAATGGTGGTTTTAATATCGATGTACACTTGCATCAAGGTTGGACCTTGAGCCTTGATTGCGATGGATGATTCAAAAAGCAGGTGCTTGCGGCTGTGCGTCGTTGCGCCATGTTATCTAATTGAAATTAGTTAAAAATAATAAGGGTTTTGTTGAAATATGTATACTGTGGTGTTATCGAGGGTTGGAGAAGGGGTATATGCGCACAAAACTAATGGCGTTCAGAAGAAAACAAAGAAATGGAATGTTATAAAAATTAAAAGATAAACATAAAAAAATGGGACAATAATTTTTGTAAGATGTAAATATTAAAATAAACCATTATTTTTCAAAAATTTAATCTATTACTGTAAAAATATACAATTCTGATGGTGTTAAGGTTGGGAATTAAGAAATTTTCAAGTCTAATGAAGTTTAAACCTTTAGTATGTATTAGTAGTTTAGTAGTATTTAACAGTATAGCTGATTTATTTTAATAAACATTTTTTAGATTGATTTTAATTTTTTTTTTTGCTTTTGATAAATTCAAATCGTCAACTCAATAGAAAAAAAAATGTTAATGGAAAATAACAAAAATTTACCGAACTTACTTAAAATTAGTTAATTAAGTACTGCAAAAGAATCTAACAAGCTCAAAAATAATAAGTATTAGAATTAATTACCTGTCATGCATTCAATTGTTTTTCATGATTCAAAATTGTTTTTCATGGTATCGTGAAATTTTTTTTTTTCAAATAGTAGATTAAATTTTTCAAAAATAATCATGATATTGTCAAAAAAATTGAAAAATTTAGGAATTTACCGAGTAGTTTACTTTAACCGTGAATATCTTTTGAAGGAGTGGGTTTATCTAAAAATTGTAAGACCTTTTTTGTAGAGCGTTCAATTCTGTATAACATGTGATTGTTATGGCTGCGAGAGAACAAGATCGAGAGAAAAAAATATATTTGCAAAAAGTGGAAAATTTTATGTAATTTAAATGGGAAACGAATCGTCTTTGGGGCAAGGTTTATTGTGAATATTAAGGGTTTACAATGGTCTGTTATTTTTTAGACAATAAACTAAAAATTTAGAGGTAGTCGTGAGAGAAATGATAAACTTTATAAATAACGGCCACCCATAGTCATAGACACAAACCATAAAATATGTAAGTAGATGATTTTCTCGAAAATTTGTTGAAAATTGTTGAAAGAAATTAGAATATTCTTATTGGAAACCGATGAAAACCTCTTCAACTGTGTTGAAAATATAAAATATGATATGACTAAATATGTAGTCGTATATATTTTTTTCCAATTTTAATAAACTTACATTGTTCTTCTTTTAGAAAATGAGCTTTAACTAGTTCTAATTGAATAAATACAAAATTATTTTTGTTGACTAGGCAAATTTCTGTTCAAATATTTACAAAGATTATATTTGTCTCATTTAAAAATTTCCTATCATTATGACTTGTTGAAGTTTTGCCACAGTCTACTTATTTCAACGATGTCTTTGTTTTCTTATATGGAATAGTACCACATTCGTTACAGTGCTAGCTTTCTTGTTCGCATTTAAAATAATAATTACGTTACTTTTTATGCACTTTTTGATAACCGTATGATCGAAAAAAAAAACGGCGTCAGCGATGGCTATAAAATAAAGATCACTGTCATTTTATAACGGGGTTGAAAATTATTGAATTAATAATATCGCTATTAAAAATAGGGGTTGAAGGCTTTATGGTAAAAGGGTGACAATTTTTTAGGGTTATGTTTTTTTAATGCCACAATGCCACATTATAAAAAAATTAAAAAAAAAATGTTGTCCAAAAAATTTAAAAAAAAATTGGGATGGACCATCCTTTATCACCCTTATAAAAAAATAGATATTCTATTTTCTATTCTATTTACTATTCTCAGACCTACTGAATATTTGTACATATTGTTACGTTTTTCGTAGGTTCCGTGTGGATAGAAAGTCACAATTTATTTAAACACTATTTATTTAACACTAATTAACAAAAACAATAACGGTAAAAGACTTAAAGAACTATTTACAAACGATTTATGACTATTATTCTAGAAAGAATTTATTTTGAATTTTAGCGCGTCAACTGTACTCGTCTATTTATGTCTGCCCTCTTTACGCCACAGCCGCCGGCTTTTATACCCACAGCTAAAGTTTTCTCTAATAGTCCATAGATCGTTAGGTGCATAGAGAAGGTTTCGATTGTTCTCGTATATACTACTCCATTCCAGTGGAATTCGATTCTACTCGAAACTTCGAATGAATTATTACGGTGTCGCGCATTATTCTTTAATGTGATGTTAAGGTCATCTGAGGGCGGGATATAATAGTTAGGTTAGGTCGAGTCTACATGGGTCCGCAACAATATAAAATTTCATCAAAATCGGTTAGGCTGTTTCGGAGGAGTATGGTCACTAAAACTGTAACACGAGAATGTTATACAGGGTGAGTCTTAAATAAGTGCAAAATGATGTTAAAAATCGTGCATTTTCTGTTAAATTTTCTTGTATATTTTAGAAAACTTTTTAGAACTGCCTGTTACCGCAAATTTTTGGTTCCTGCACTAAAAGGGATGTAAATACAGAAACAATTCGGTGGCTCTCAAACTTTTTTAAACGGCAAACTTCAATAACTCGTTTGTTTTGGACTAATTTGAAAAACGGCGAAGAGAAAATATATATGTTTCTTTTATCGAGATATACCATCCCTGAAAATATTTACACTTATTTAAGACTCCTGTATATTAGATTATATCGGGAATGTCATCGGGAATATATCGGGATCGTCATTTTCTAGCCAACTGGACGCCGTTTTTTTTTCGATCATACGGTATTATCGTATGTAGATTCTTTTAATACTCTTTTGTAAATAGCTTTCTGTCAAACTAACACTAACCTAACACCTTCTTTTTTCCAGATACATGGTTTAATCCAGAACGGTTAAATCCTAAAGGTAAGGACACTAACCCATTTAAAAAATCAACTCTTCTGCATGATTGTAAATTTTTGTTTTGGCCATGCTTAGAATTTTTAGTTTGACTATGGGTGATTTTTAGAGAATATCGATATTTTATTGTACTAAACTCGATATTTTTAATTCGATACATTGCATATTAAACTTAGACAAGGAAAGAGAGGGGACAGCTAAAACGCATATTCTCCAGTGAAAAAATTTTGAGGCCAAAATTTGATCGGCGGCCATACTTTGTGGACAAGATTTCGAGGTGACACCAAGCGAATTTTTATGTTTTTTGTGAATACTGTTTTGTTTTAAATTTATAAACTGTGTTGTTTAGTATGTGGTGAGATGTTCAGCGTATGGCTGCAAAAGCTGAAGCGAGAAAAAAATGACTGGAATTACATTTTACTAGGGTTGCCAGATGGACAGTGTATAAAAGTAGGACAATTGTACAAAAAAGCCTGATTTTTGATAAAAAAGCCGGACATTTCTTTACTTATTAAGCATTTACACAAGCTTATAAAAGCTTTGTTCGGGTTCTTGTTATTACAGATTCTGAACAGTCCTAGAACTGTGATGCATATGCGCAGAAGGAAATATGAAGACATTATTTCATTTGCGCATGCGCTGCAGAGTTCTAGGACGGTTCAGAATCGGTAATAACAAGAACCCGAACAAAGCTAAAATTTCAATAAAATTATTTTCTTTTTTTATCTTATACACTAATGAACCGGTCTTGGTTTGATTTTTATGGTTGACCGGTTGCCGGTTTGCTGTTGCACTTTGCACTTTTTAGTATTATAAAAATCGAAATTAATTAACAATTTTTCGTAAAATGGAAAAAAGCCGGACATAAAGATAAGCCGGCCGGACATTAACAAATTGCCAAAAAAGGAGGACATGTCCGGCTTTAGCCGGACGTCTGGCAACCCTAATTTTACAGGTAAAAGTTGATACACAACTTGTGCTATGTAGGCATAAAATGTACATTTTTTTCATTATAGCAGTAAAAATATGTAAAATGCTTTTAATATGTCTTGTACCACATCCAAAGCCAACTATTTTTATTAATTCCAAGTAGTATTTTCAATATCCTATATTATAATTAATGTTTGAAACTATAAATAATGCTACTCAGACATGATTTCTCCAGGGGCGTAGGGTATTATAATCAGAAAAATACAATTTCTGCAATAAACATTTTTTTATATATTTTACATGTAAAAAAATGTATAAAGTATTGTTATCAAATATGTAAAATAATAATAGTCAACTATAAAAAAAACATGACAAATTTTGGATATAAAAATCTATATGTATAGTTGTTACATAAAACTTAAATTTACCTACCAAGATTTGCTGGGGGATTAACTTGTGGTAGGGTACTTGTTACAATATTTTTTTAAATATCCTTTCAAAAAATTTGCTAGTTTAGGTGTATAATAATAGTTTCAGTGAGTAATTAAAAAAAATTTAAAAATAAATAAATAAAATAACACAAAGCTTCTAGAATTGTTTTTTTTTGCGGAAAATTCGGATATTCTTATGATTGAAGATAACAAATATTAAAAATTACATTATTCATTGAAACCGTAGGCAAGTGTGAAGGGGATTGCCTAGATTCATTATTATACCGTATGATCGAAAAAAAAAACGGCGTCCAGTTGGCTTGTCGATGCCATTTCTCTCAGTCTTTTTTCGATGTCATTTTATATAATTTTTATGTCATTTTATATGTATGGGGAATGTCATTACCGATCGTCATTTCCAAACAAACAGGAGGCCGTTATTTTTCGATCATACGGTATATATGTATATACACGTTTAAAACATATATATTTACATTATTTTTTATTTAATTATACATTATACACACGTTAATAAATAAATAATTGTCTTGATGATCAGTTCACTGTGACTGTTAAATAAATGTTGCATTATCGGCTTAGATATTCTAATATTATAAAGGTGAGACTATAAAATACAAAATTGTATGTGCATTACTCAAAAATAAACGATATATTAGTTAACGTTTTAATAAATATTTTTTATCGTCTAGGTACAAGCTAATTTCTTATGCTACGCCATTGGAGAATTTCGTGTGGTGACAAGTGGCTTCACTTTCAGCTGCCGTGTTACCTGTCCCCTCTCTTTCCTTGTCTAAGATATTAAATATTTTAGATCGATTATTTGTTGGATCGTACATCCCTACTTTCATAACATTTTTGGTTATTGTTGGAAATTTCATAATATAGATCATAGCAAATAAACTTTTTGTCACGTGATAAGCTTGACCTACACAGCGTTGCCTACTTTTACATATTCTCTTTTAATCAAAATATTTTAGGAAACAAACATGAATTATAAAAAATGTCTATACCTATGTGGCGGATTTATCTCTCCAAAAAAATCCTACAAAGCAGTGTTTACAAAAAAATAACTATTTTATTTTGTCGATTTTCTTGCAGTGGCGAAATAGGATTTTTTTTTGGAAAAATGAATTAATTATAAATATATACCGGGTGTGTCTCAAAAGTGGCTCACCCCTATAACTTTTTTATTTTTTCATTTAAAAAAGCGAGATTCGGTATGTTAGTATATGACATAAATTAGGATTGATTGACATATTCAATTGTTGTCGGCTACTTCCCATTTCACCGGAAATGACTACAACTTTTGATTTTTAAATGGCACCCTTGGTATGTTTTTACTTTATTCGATAGAAAATATCACTCTGAATAGAATGACATATCATATGTCAAGTTTTGACATTTTCGCATATGGTTTATTTGAAATTATAACTTGCGGTTCATAACGAAAATTTGATTCGAAATACCAAGTGTGTGGTATCAAATTATTCGTAAAAAATGCTTTTTCCAAATATGCTAATGAGCCACCCTCGTTCCATTTGAAAAAATTGAGATATGATTAAAAATACAATTTGAGGCCTAAATGGCCAGGACAAGACACTAAAAACATTAGACGATCAAATCTATTTTTCCAAGGCTCCTTGATTAAGAATTAGTGTTTTTAACATAACCATGGCACTCCAGATTGAATTTTAAAATACAATTTTTTATTAAGCGAGAATGTCAAAAGTTGACATATGATATGTCATTCTATTCGAAATGTCATTTTCTATAGAATAAAGTAAAAAAATACCGAGGGTGCTATTTAAAAATCAGAAGTTGTAGTAATTTCCGGTGAAACAGGAAGTTACCGAAAACAATTGAATAGGTCAATCAATCGAAATTTATGTCATATACTAGCATACCAAATCTCGTTTTTTTATCTGAAAAATTAAAAAAAGTTATAGGGGTGAGCCACTTTTGAGACGCACCCGGTATACAGTTATTATCTATATTAACAAAACTCATCTCCTTAACATCATTTAAGGGACATAAAGGACCATTACTACAGCTTTTCCGTTCAAAATATTCTAATAAAGTTGCGATGAGTTTTTTGCGTCGTCTATTAAGCTATCTTTTACATTTCGTACTAAAAGAGGTTCTAAAAAGAAGAATGTTCGACTGCAAGATTGGCTAGGTGAGGGAAGTTAGCAACTCATTGAAAGCAGGAATTATAAAATACGATCCTGCTTAGGCTGCTACAATCCTGCTTTATCCTGCTTCAAATCCCAACCCAGCAACACCTACCTATTTTGAGCTATAGTTACTTCTATTTTGTTTGCTGACTTCCCAGTTGGCAACACATGGGAAGCAGGATCGCCAAAACTGGTTCCTGCTTGCGTTGCTATACCTCTGTTGCATCCTGCTGCGAATTTCGTCCCAACAACACTTGCTGTTTTAAAGATACAGCAAGTTTAAGTCTGATTGGTGACGTTACACATAGCAACACAATAAAAGCAGGATGGCTGAAATAAGTTCCTGCTTTGGCTGCTCTAATCCTGCCTTATCCTGCTTCAAACCCGATACCAGCCACTCTTGCCGTTTTTAAAACAGAATGAATCGATTCCTGGTAATCAGTCGCACATTAAGATTAGGAATGATTTTTTTTTAACTTGATAAGTTCCAGCTTAGGCTGCTATTTTTTTGCTTTATTTGCCTAAAATATGTATAAGCTTCCAAGCCATAAATAATTATTCCGAACAGTTGAACAAAATAAGGCAGGTTCAGTGTTCTCAGGAGTAACTTTAGAGTTTTTAGTGACATCCGAAAGCGCCTTAACTTACCCGCCAACCATTACCTCAAATTTTCAAGTTTTCTACTATGAATTTGAATTCGTAGTTCTCACAAGTGTGATTTGTGTTATTTGTTTCACAACTTAAGTATTTTGAGTTTTTTACGTTTCGTTCCGGGCCCTAGCGGACAACTCCAATTCTCCAATTCCCGATTTCCAGTAATCAAAACAAAATTTGCTGAATTTCAAAAACGGCAAGAGTGGCTGGTATAAGGTTTGAAGCAGGATGAGGCAGGATTATAGCAGCAAAAGCAGGAACTTATTTCAGCCATCCTGCTTTTATTGTGTTGCTATGTGTGACGTCACCAAGCAGACTTAAACTTGCTGTATCTTAAAAACAGCAAGTGTTGTTTGAACCAGTTTTGGCGATCAGCAGGAACCAGTTTTGGCGCAAGTAGCGCAAGCAGGAACCAGTTTCGGCGATCCTGCCTCTCATGTGTTGCCAACTGGGAAGTGAACAACCAAAATAAAAGTAACTATAGCTCAAAATTGGTAGGTGTGGCTGGGTTGGGATTTGAAGCAGGATAAAGCAGGATTGTAGCAGCCCAAGCAGGATCGTATTTTATAATTCCTGCTTTCAATGAGTTGCTAACTTCCCCGATCTAGGTTGGCTAGATAAAATTTTCAAGCTTAAAGTGTATCACAACACAAATCATTTAAATCAAAAACTCGTAATACAAAACTAACATGTCAAAACGAATGACAATTTCAGGAAATAAATAAATAAATGTGGCAACTTGACATTTTTTACAGCAGAGTTACCACCTGAGTAGCCAGCGGGAAATTTAAATTCC